CTCTGTTGTGTAAATGTGCTACATTTCCTTTATCCATTCTTCAGTTGAGGGGCATCTAGGTTGTTTCCAGGTTCTGGCTTTTACAAATAATGCTACTATGAACATAGTTGAACAAATGACCCGTTAGCTTGATTGAGCATTTTTTGGGTTTATGCCCAAGAGTGGTGGTATTGCTTAGTCCTGAGGTAGGTTGACTACAGAAATTCCCAGGAATCCACAAGGATGACCCCAGCTAAGACCCTAAGCAATAGAGAAGAGGGTTCTCGAACTGGCCCTGCCCTGTAGTCAGACTGATGAATATCTTAAATATCACCATAGAACCTTCATCCAGCAACTGATGGAAACAGAGGCAGAGACCCTCAGTGGAGCACTGGGCTAAGCTCCCAAAGTCCAGTGTAAGAGTGGGAGGAGTGAGAATATGAGCAAAGAGGTCAAATCCATGATAGGTACAACCACTAGAACAGTTTACCTAAGCTAATGGAAGCTCACCAACTCCAGCTGGACAGGTAAGGAACCAGCATAGGTCCAAATTAGACCCTCTGAATGTGGATGATAGTTGTATGGCTGGGGCAGACTGTGGGGCCACTGGCAGTGGCACCAGGATTTATCTCTACTGCTTTTTGGGAACCTATTCTCTTTGGATGGATACCTTGCTCAGCTTAGATATTAGTAGAGAGGGCCTTGGGCCTTCCCCAAAGCAATGTTCCTTACCCTCTCTGAGGAGTAGATGGGGGGTGGGGGGAAGGAATATGTGGAGGTAATGGGAGGAGGGGAGGGAGTAGGAACTGGGATTGGCATGTAAAATGAAAAAAGATAGTTTTCTTTTAAAAAAATAAAATAAATTTTTAAAAAAGAATTTCAACTAAAATAAGGAACAGGACAAGGATATTCACCCTCTTTATTCTTGTTCAGTAGCTTGCTTGAAGAGTTAGCTAGTGCAATAAAATAAGTGAAAGAGATAAAGGGGTACAAATAGAGAAGGAAGTCAAATTACCCCTATGTTCAGATGATATAATGTTCTGTATAAACGCACCTACATACTCCACCAGGAAACTTCTACAGTTGATAAATTATTCAGTGAAGTAGCAGCATACACAGTTAACACATAAAAATCAGTAGTTTTCTATATACAGGTGAAAACATACTGAGAAAGAAATTACTAAGGGAAACAATCCCATTCACAGTCGCCTCAAAAATATTCTGAAATAAATCTAACTAAGGAAGCGAAAGATGAATTTTTAAAATAAAAAATGTTAAGATAGCAAAGAAAGTAATGGAAGAAGATACAGGGAGATGCAAAGGCCTCCCATGCTCCTGTGTCGATGGAATAATATTGTGGAAATGGCCTTACTACCAAAAGCAAGTTGTAGACTCACAGAAATCTCCATCAAAATTCCAACTCAATTGACACAGAAATGAAAAAACTAATCTTGAATTTTGTTTGGAAGCACACCCAAAAACAGAGAGAAAGAGAGAGAGAGAGAGAGAGAGAGAGAGAGAGAGAGAGAGAAAGCATCCTGAGTGATGACAGAACTAGTAGAGGCATCACTATCCCCGGTTTGAAGTTTATAGCTAGTGAGCTGTAGTAGCAATATAGAAAAGCAGTAATGTATCAGAGAAGTTGGGCTGACTCTCTATTTTCTACTTTCTTCTCCAGGGGTTTGTCATACTCACAACAGTAGTAATAACCACAGCGATGGCACAGAACACCCTATTAGTATTTACTTATGATAGATCTTATCTTGGGGATTTTGCCAATATTAATTTGTTTGCTCTCACCATAACCTGTGAACTTGGAGACTGTCACTGCCACTTTATACATGAAGAAACGATAGTTTGATTGCTTACGTATCATGTTCAAGATCACTCAGCTAAATGATTGATTTGAATAAATAAATTTGGCTAGAACATCCATTATTGTGAGAAAATACCTAAAGAGTAGTCTTGCATTTATACTTCCACATTACTGTTAGAGTCTTCAGAAGTTGGTTTGAGTGAAATTAGCCAGAGAATTTGCTCTTCACTCAGGTTTTATCCCCTTACAATGCTACTTCTGTTTTTTTGTTTCATTTCTTTGCTTTAGATTTTAGGTTGTTTCCATATTTGGATTGTGTTCATATCAAGGGAAGATATGAAAATTTCCTTATTTTATCCTTGATTCATATTTAAGAACATGTATGTCCAGTATTCAGAGGTCCCTTTTGAGCCTCCAAGTGTTGTACACAGATCATTTACTTTTTTCCTGGTTCTGTACTAGGGATTGATTGACCCTAGGCCTCACATAGCTAGAGAGACATGTTACTGAGAGTTGCAGGCAGAGTCCCAAAGATAACTGAAACTTTCTATGTAAGCATGTACACTGTGAAACCTGCCTGCTGATTGTTCTCATATCTAGTGTGTGAACTCTACAGTGATTTTCTTGGCTGTTCATGGTGTCTTTATGTATAAATAAATATTTTAGGCTAAAATATTTTTCCAAGTTGGAACTGATTTGAGAAAAGTGAGTAGCCACAGCACCCTGTCATTGAGGCAAACGTAACTAATATTCATTCTAAAATACATCTTTCCTTTGAGTTTGCCACTATTATATTAGATTTCTAGCTTAGCACTTTCAGGAAACCATTGATAGCATGTAAATGGAAATAGAATACCAAGAATGCAGTGGCACCCTTATGCCCTTGTTCTCACTAACCCAATTCAGTCACTCTAAACAACAGAGGTCGCAACCCCAAGGAAGTCCATACAAGGCAAGCGAAGTGAAAAGCCACATCACCATATGCAGGGCTGTGAGAAACAGGGCACTGAACAGCAGGAATGAGAGTGGTAGATGCAATGGAGTTGCCATAATAAAGGGCAAGAATGCAACACATTTAGAGGGATCTCGTAAAGGAGATAGGTCCCAAAAAAGAGAATAGGGGAAGCATAGAATAGAGGAGAAATGTAGATCACTTCGTTTGATCTGGGACAGTCTCACCTTTCTAGCTATCCTGATAGAAATGGCACCAACTTCTATCTAGAAACAGTGTATCACAGCTGAAAGAGCAGGACTTACAGGGTCAAACAAACAAGGATTTCCATCTAATTCTGTTAGTATGGACTTGACTAAGTTATCCCTCCTATACAGTTGTGTAGTATGTTCATATAGCCTTCACACACCCTAAGGTGTCATATCTTTGTCATGTGTGCAAGATAAATAGTTATCACCCTGAGTTCTTTAGGAGATGATGATAAGGAATAAATCCACATGGGTTTGGTAAAGAAACAGCTTTTCTCTAGATATTTTTAAATCACATTGAATAAGACTGTGAAGGCAGAATCTGGATAAGTAGAATTTACTTTGAAAGAAAATGAAGAGAACTTTAGCATGGTAGGAATGCATTGATGTTTCTTTCATGTTATGTTCGAGTGAAAATGTAACATTTGTGATACATCATCAACGGCTGAGGAAGGAACTAGAAAACAATAATGATAATGATCATGAGGAGAGCAGCCACAATTCCAGAGAGCGCCAATGTGCACTAAACACCACACACACACACACACACACACACACACACACACACACACGGGGGTGGAAGGAAGGCAGAGACAGAGACCCAGACAGAGAGACAGAGTGATAGATGAGAGACAGTGAGAGACAGAGACAAATACACATATACACACACACAACTCTGTGTGTAATCTTAACTTATTCCTCATATTACCCCTAATACGTGAGTGTTTTCAACTCTATTTCCCATAAAACGAAAGAAATATAGAATGGTTGAGTCATATTTGCCCGTGGTTACATAGATGATTGAGCTCCCTGACACAAAAACCTGTATTCTATCATAATGTCTAGAACTTGGGAACAGCCATAATTAAGCACTATCTATTGCTGAAAATCTGATGTTTTTTTTTTTTTACCCTGTTCTCTTAAAACCCTTTTCACTAACTTTCCCCCGGAGCCCTCTCCAAGTGAGCTCCACTAGAGGAACTCTGTCTTCCTCTAGTGAGAGCCAACCGTGCCTGTCTGTCTCAACAGGCCTTCTCAAGTAGGATTTCTTGTAGTGACAGACTAGATAACCACTTGAAACATGGAAGATTTGTGGTAATGAGCAAAAAAAGTTCCTGTAGTAGAAACAGCAGAGTGTTTCCTAAACAGACAGATACTTTCCAATAGAAATAATCTTAGCGCCAGGCAGTGGTTGCACATAGCTTTAATTCTAACACTGGGGAGGCAGAGGCAGGTGGATCTTTGTGAGTTCGAGGCCAGCCTGGCCTGTAGAGCGAGTTCCAGGACAGGCTCCAAAGCAACAGAGAAACCCTGTCTCTAAAATAAACAAAAGAAAAAAATAATCTTAGCAGTGGAAGTCAGTTCTAGTAATATGACTAGAGCAGCAGGCTAACGCATGTTCCAGCTGTGTGGCCTGTGTGGGTTGTGGTGGACCCCAAGCACCATCTGAAGTCTTTGTCTATAGGAAAATGCTTCCCAACAGACAAGGTAAAAGGATCATGAATGATTCCAATAACCATCATAAAACCTCATACACAATGTGCACTAAAGATCTGTATTGATTGTTTGATCTTTAGTAGAATTGTGCCTCATCACAAAAGCCAGAATAGCACTGAGCTTTCTACAGTCTTTAACTTAGAATTGTATGACAAAGTTAAATGTGACCTTCAGAGCGTGAATTAAATGTCATTCTGTTTTTAGTTAATATGATTGTACAAATAGCTAACGTAGAATGTTTGTAATTTTTCCAGGTAGCTTATAACTCACAGGCATATAGATGCTGGGATGATCCCTTCTAGGAAATAGTGCTAAGTGGTCCAGTATCCCAGCATTCTAGTCTTAATTGTTGGTATAGTCTTTCCAAGAGTGTTTTAGGTGACCTAGCTACTTGCCTGTCAGACGGATGAATGCTTCATCTAGGGAAAATGATTTCTCAGGTATATTCTTTGGATACAGTAAAAAAAAATCTTCTTATTTCAGAAAAGCAATTGTTTTGCTCTTTCAGATGTAACTGTATGGAGCCACATAGTCCCAGCAACGCTACACTGAAGGAATGGAGGGATTCCAATATTTCTGCCTCTGACATAATTTGGGGGAACCTCAGCGTGTCCGTAAGTAAAACATGGCACAAGAAGTCACATCTTGAATCACTTACTGTAAAGACCTTTATTGACATTTTTAATCACTTATTGCAACTAAGGTAAGAATTTTGAAAATACAAACTTACACAAGTGACAGCTTGGTTTTAAAGTCCCTCCATTTCAGATATCCAACCACAGTAGGGTTTTCACTCCTTACAAAAAAACTTCTCATAGACCTAAGTTGCCCTTCTGTTACACAAACAGAAGAACAGAACTAAAGTCAACTGAAGACCATTAAATATGAGTCCTGGTGATCATCACGGCGGGGCCCGTTCTGCTTTGCCCACGAAGGACCGAGGATATTTCCACTTACTGTGTGTGCTTCTCCCACTGTTCAGAACAGGATGAGGGGAGCGGATGGGCTGATATTTTACTGTAAATACTAGTCTTTGATGAATGTGACAGTTAAAAAAAACTCTCATATGTTTCTCAACAGATTTCCAACTTCCATTTTTATTCTTTAGTCTACTCAGAAGAAAAGGGAGGGGGCTACACACACATTTTTGCCTATAATGCTTAAATCCTGTACCTTTGCTTCATTTTCTTCTCTGTAATTTTTTTCTCACAGGAACATTCCTCTGCTTTTACTTTGTACTCCATGTATGTGTGTGTGTGTCATAATCTGCATTCATAAGTTTCAGTTATTTCTATTCAGTGAAAGCATGAAATTTGTATTTAAAAAACAAGTGTTCTGCTTTATAACAAATATAAAATTCCCTGGGCAGCCCCACTTTCTCTTTTATTCCTTCCAGTCATGTGCATTACTATCCAAAGGTTTTGCCACAAATATCTTTATAGTCATCAGCCCAAAACCAAACAAGTAATACTTCATTTGATCAAACACATATTATTTTAGTAAGTGAGTCAGTTAACAGAACATAGAAATATTTTTGTTTTATAAATATTATAAGCCTCAAAATATTTTTGTTTAAGAAAAATATGACCTTATGTCTGTTTTCATTATATATGTTCTTTCAGAATTATAAATCAGAGGACTTACCCTTGGTTTACAATTCAATGCTGGTATATATTTTATGACCTCTTTTATCTCCTCTTATCTCTCCCTCTCCCCCTCCTTCTTTACCCCCCATGTGTGAGACATCCCCTTGGCTTAAAACAGAAATTTAAATGTTGAATTTTGTTGGTTACAGATTTTACTTTTTCAAATCAAGGCATCTTGAAGAGTGGTCCCTTGTCATTTTCTCCAGAACAAGTCTTCATTTACTCTTACCTCCTTTTGTGGTTAACATGTATTCCTTTCCACTTGCATTTCCCTAAAATGCAGCCAGGTTTCTGGTACCCAGAGACCTTTTAAATTGATCAGTAAAGGAAATGATGATGTGAGTAAGAAAGAACAGTCCAGTTTATCGAAAGCTTAGTTCTGGAGTCATGGTGAACATGTTTTGGTGTGAGTGTCTTTGTAGAGAACCTGTTTAGAAACTGTATTATTTTATCCAAAGAGCCTCTGTTTGCTCCCTTTTCTCTTATTTTCTTTTCAGCACAAGTTGAAAATAATTCAGTCTGAATTATTCAAAAAATAATTCACGTTTTGTATACTTTCTGAGTCACTTAATGCTAAATTGTAAAATTTATTCTATATATTAGCCAATCCTGAATAGCCTTCTAAAAGACAGATTTATTACATAATCGATGGAGTTAGTCATAAGTGAATTATTTTCAAATTGTTTACTTAAGATTTTTTAATCAATAAATTTTGATAGTGTTTTCCTTTTCCCACTTCCTCCCAAATTCTTCCACCTCTCTACCCACCCAACTTTTGAAAGTAAAAGTTTTGAGCTCAAGTAGAGGTTTGTAAAAAATACTTTAGAGACAAAGAAAATCTAATATTTTTGACTTATTGTAACATTCTCTACTACAGGCCACTGTTCTGAAAGAAATTTCACATTATTTTTTATGTAGCAGGGTTTTCAATAGATAATTTCTATTCTTGACCAGAAACATTCTGAATCACATGAATGAATGTTACACAAAGGAAAAGCCCTATGATTCTTAAGTCAACAAGATTAGTTAACTTATCTTATGCTGTTTTTCTCAGGATAACCATAATTATTATCTAATACAAATATTAATGAAACACTATATTGATAACTATTATAACAATATTAGTAAAAATAGTGATGCAACATTTAATTTACATATATATTTAGCATATCATATATTATTTTATTTTATCACAATATGTCTCATGATTGCTAATTTATACCTTGCTAACTCATAAAGAGCAAAGAATCAGAATCGAAGGGTTAATTATTTGATAAATACTGAATGATTATGTTGAATATTACTGTGGGATATTACTTTAACTATGTAAAAATGTGTTACTTTTGTTTATGCCGCATTTGTTTAATTATGTAAAGATATGCTGCTGTTTTACGTTGCTGCCTAAGTAACCTAACTGATCTTATAAAAAGCTGAACCACGAATAGTTAGGCAATAGAGGGATAGGCAGTGCTGTCATGTAGAGAGAATAAGTAGGAGGAGGAATCTAGACTCCAGAGAAGATAACTGGAAAGAGAAGAGAACTAGGGAGAAAGACAGGAGATACCCAGAGCGAGACAGACAGACATATATACAGTAGGATATATATAATGAAAAAAAGGTTAAAAACCTCAAGACAAAACATAGATTCTTTTAAAAGGGAAACAGGTTAATTTAAGCTATCAAAGCTAATGGGACAAGCATAAGATAAGGCCAAGCATTCATAACTACTACTGAGTCTCTGTGTCGTGATTTCGGAGCTGGGTGGTGGTTCAAAAGCAAGCCATCTCATCTGTTTACTATTTAGTTCAAATTCACGGCCAGCTAGTAGACTTAGATCTGTGTAATGCATTTTAGCTCATGGTTTCTAATTCTTATTTAATAAAACCTATTTTTGTCAACTCGCAGAATTGTTGAAATAGAATGTGTTCATAGAGTAATTAGTAGAAATCTGTTTGTTACCAAGTATCTTTTGAGTACCCATTGTACGTTACACCATGTTAGACTAAAGTGAAAGGTTTTGGATTTTGTTTGCATTTCTGAATTTCAAGATTCATTTCTCTCTCTCTCTCTCTCTCTCTCTCTCTCTCTCTCTCTCGTTTCTATCCTTCCCCCATCTCTCTCCTTGTGTGTGTGTCACACACAGATAGCAGAAACTGAAAATAAATGTTGAATTTCGTAGGTCACAAGATTTACCTTTTAAATTTATAGACCCTGACTCCTGAAAAACAAGAGAAACTAATATTGTCCAATCTGCTTGAGTTAGAATAACTAGGCTCAGTATTGGTGGTCTGTTATAGATAAGGCCTTTGAAGGATCTTTCACTGGCGTCTGACACCTTAGAAGTAGAGGATAAGACCCAGGTGCATCCAGGGAATGTTTAGAAGCCTTTCACACCTGCATTACAGGTGCTCACAAATCAGTGTGCCTTGTGTGGGACTCTCGCCTCCTCTGCTTAGGCATCCCAGTACACGTTGGACTGCTTAGCAATTTCCAAGCATTTCTGAACAGGGACACACACAAAGAAAAGAAAAATGAAAACTTCAAGATTTAGTTATTGTTTTTTATTAATTCTGATTTAGAAAAGAAAACTAAAGCTATAAATGCTATCTAGAGGATTATTCTGTAGTTTTTCAATAGCCGTTTTTCTGTGCCTTAGGTCAGCTTAACATGAATAATTGAAATTGAGCTAGCAAGAAAGGTCCTGGCAGACCCCTTAGGTGGTTATAAATTATACTGATATATTTCTCCAGAGTCTTTGGGTAGGGCACCTATGTCAAGTGGAGTTTACTGGTTGGTTACTTGTTTCAGATGACATTGTAGCTACTTACTTATGTTAAAATCTTTCAGAGGAGTTAATCCTATGCTGTAGAAGACGTGAGGATTTGAAGTTTGATTCAGTGAAAACACTGTGTCCCTTAAATTCTCTTCCTACTATTGCACAGTTCAAACTTTGTTCAGAATGCCTAGATGACTAAAGAAGTCACTGGATTTCTAAGCTGTTATTTATTTTGGAGCAGAGTAATATAATTTTTAGAATACAAAAGTTCTCCAAGATGACAGAATATTTTTTCCTTTCATAATATTTAATGCTTATATAAAATATTATTTTGTCTTGAAGTTCTTTTTGACTTTGCTGCCACCTAATGGTTAAGGCAGTAATTAATTTTTTTCTTTCTCTTTTTTTAGAAGGAGAAATATATATATATATATGTATATATATATATATCAGATTAATAGACATGATTTTTCCCTTGCTCATGTAGTAATGTTTCCTTCATTTTTTCTTTGAATTCTATAGTTACCATATCTGACTGAAAGTCCATTTCATTAATTGTATATCACCATCTTCTTGTTGCCTTTCTTTTCTTTCTTGGTAGTTTTAAACAACTTTCTCTAAATCATATTGTTGTAATATGCTATAACCCCCTGCAGGAGTGGTGCATGTGGTCAGCTCCACCACTCATGATGAGGCTGAAGTACACTGTTCAATCTCTCCAGGCCCTGACTTTCTCAGATATCAAATATAAATGAAAACATCTGTCTCTGTTGTTGGTGTCGAAAATGGTGAAAATGATACATTTTAATGCTTTGTCATGCTTCTGATGTTAGTACAAACTATGCATTATCAAACTTGCCACACTTGAAGTACATCTGTTATCTTGAACTTAATAGTTAGGTTTAATACCTATCCAAGTAGAATTCCTTGTGCGAGTCATCGGTGGACAGCTGCAGCTGATCAGGTATTAGTTTCTGGGAAAAAAAAGCCCTGGACTCCTTACCAGCTCTGTTTTCCTTCCCGGGCAGGAGTGCCGATCACTGCACGGGGAGTATGTTGGGCGAGCCTGTGGCCATGGCCACCCCTATGTGCCAGATGTTCTCTTTTGGTCGGTGATCCTCTTCTTCTCCACAGTTACCATGTCAGCCACCCTGAAGCAGTTCAAGACAAGCCGGTATTTCCCAACCAAGGTACCTGGGCTCTAATATTCCTGACCCAAACATAAACTAAAGGACAGTTGTGAGATGCCACATTCTTAAGAACAAAGGAGAGTTAGAGACAGAATGAAGGGAACCACGGAGAGGTTTTAGTCCTGAGGGAATTGGCGAGTTAGTGGTAGGCGGTGGGAAGGGGCTGGAGAGGAGGCACTTTGGTGACACAGGTATCTCAGGTGGCACAAGCCCTTCAGGTTTTACCTCTCACGGAAAGGGTCAACACTTCCCTTCCCGCTTACAGTTTTGGAAAGTCTAAGCACACATCATATCACTGAGTATCGTGTTCTTTCCCAGTAGGCAGAGGGACCTATTCCAGCCTGACAGGTACCTCAGAGGAGCAGCCATTACACTGTCTAATCCCTGGTTCTCAGCCTTCCTAATGTCGTGACCCTTTAATATCAGCCCTCATGTTGTGGGGACCCCAACCATAAGTTTGTTTTCATTGCTACTTCATTGCTGCAATACTCTACTGTTATGAATCATAATATAGCTCTCTGTATTTTCCAATGGCCTTAGACAACCCCTGAGAAAGGGTCATTTGATGCTCAAAGGTGTTGTAACTAAGAGGTTGAACGGAGAAAACCTGCAATGCTCTCTAGACAACTGTCTTCTTGTTTTAAAAGCATCAACCGTTTCCCCTAATCCACCATGCTTGTTTCTGCATATTTGGGAAGTAAACAGAGAATCAGTTGAGTTCAACACTTAGCTCTGAAAAGTAACTTTTTTGATGTTTGATTCCACCACAAAAGGGGACAGTGGGTGAGATAGAAAAAAAAACCGAGGAAACAAATATTTTGGGGTTGAGATACCCATTTCAAAAGCCTTCCTCTTTGGTAAATGTGTGGAGTTTTCCCTTCCACAGAGAGCCGCTTCTCTGTCACCTACTCCTTGCTAATATGACAGATTCATTTCCTCCACCTCCACTTAACCTGATCAATACTGAATTATTCTCTGTATGTTGGAAACTTAATCCTAAGTATTTTGTGCACATGTTGCAAAAGCATACTAATAGAAAATCAATATAACTGATAACTGCTTAAGGATAATTACTCAAGCACGTCTTGTAGGACCTAGGGATGGTTCCGTCAGTGCAGTGCTTGCCTTGGAAGTATGAGAATCCAGAGCCTCAGAAGCCGTGTTTTAAAAAGCTGGTGTATTGGTATACACCTGTAATCCCAGAGGCAGTGAGATTGGAGGGGAGGAGGTGAATCCTGCATGTGCCTGTCCATGAACCTGGCCTACCTGGTGAAGTTCCATGCCAATGAGAAACTGTGTGAAGGCCAGTGTCTAAGAGCTTCTTTTCTGACTTACACCTGTGTACTGTGTGCTGTGCACTCCCAATGGCTTCCTACAACGAGAAATGACTCAAGAACCGATTTATACAGAATTTGCTTTAAATAAAAGAATTTTTAAAAGCTTGTCCACACTGTTTTTGAATGTTACTAATTGTCATGCCTTGAGTAAAGCAATTTAAAAAATTAAAGTAAATAAAGCAGGTAATTTTGTTTAATGGTCCTTTAGATTCATAATATTAAAATGTAACTTGTATGCAAGAGTCCTAAAATTCATCAGATTCAGGCCAGATGACCTAAATCTGTGTTCTAAGTTTTCACATACCTGGGATAGAAATAAATATTTTACATAAATATTGAAAGGAAAATGGCCACCATTATTTTAGTCAATAAATCTTTATTCTGAGAAGTGTGTATGAGAAACATGAAGATGTATTCAAATTCTAGAATAGCTAACAATAATACTTTATAATGTGCATAGAAGGTAACATTGCAGTAACAGCACTTGTAAAGTATGATTTGAGACTGTTTCTGAGTACCTTGTTGTTTATAGCTCTCCCAAGTAACAGCGTTCTCTTTATTTCTAGGTTCGATCCATAGTGAGTGATTTTGCAGTTTTTCTTACAATTCTGTGTATGGTTTTAATTGACTATGCCATTGGGATTCCATCGCCAAAACTAAAAGTACCAAGTGTTTTCAAGGTGAACATAACTAGCACTTAACATCTATCTACTTTTCTATCTCTCTGTGTCTATAAATCTTTATGTAAATGATATCTGTGACCCCAGTACGTGAGATTTTCCTGAGAGTGTGAACAATATACATTAATAGAATAAGAAATAAATGATACACAGTATGAATAAAATTGTAATTTAATATTAAAATAGAATTATAGAAATGAAACCAGAAGGCTGCTTAAACATTTTCTTCTTGGCTATTATGGTTGGAATGTATACATACATTACAACATGCCTAATGCCAAGGAATCATTCTGAAACTAAGGAACGTACATTATTGTGAGGTGAAACCGTAGAGTGGATGGGGTTTGAAAACCAGATAAAATAGTCTTTGGATGAGAATGCCAGCCATATTATAAAGGCAGGACATGCCCTTGAAGCCAGGAACTTACTGTCTCAGCCTGTTTTCTCATCTGTCAAACAGAACTAAGGACTTAATCAAAGGATTTTTGCTGTCATAATGAATTCCTCTGGGATCCAGTTCCAGAATTAGCCATGTTTTGAACCTTTTGCTGAACTTCTGATGTGACTGAGTTTCTGTTTTTTTGTTTTTAATTTTTGTACAGCAGCCTCTGTACATACCTAAAATAAGTTACTATATTATATCAGAACACTCTGTTTATTTGTCTGCTTGTGATTATAAACTGAAAGAGTGTTCTATCTTATTTATCTATGATCTTGTTTCTAACATAGTCTTCAATATGCAATTTTAAATTTGCCAACAGTAAATGGTAAGTGTTGGTGTTATTTACTTAATGCAGATATTGATTGTGAATATGTTTTTAATTAACCTGATGGAGTTTAAATTCAGCCTCAATTAATTACTAGCCAGAAACCTTAGACAATTTACTATAGCGTTCTATACCTCAATTTCATCTTTGCAGTGTTGAGTAGAAAAAATGAGTTGAAAGATAACACACTTAGAATGGTATCCTTAGTGATGTAAATTCTTCATGAGTTCATTATTGTTGAATGCTCAGCCAACCATTTTATAATTAAGAATTCCCTGTTTATATCTATATGACTTAGTTCAATTAGGTATTTATTAATCTAGGTACTAATATGTATGATTAATTTTTTTCTCAGCCTACAAGAGACGACCGTGGATGGTTTGTTACCCCGTTAGGTCCAAACCCATGGTGGACAATTATAGCTGCCATTATCCCAGCTTTGCTTTGTACAATTCTGATTTTCATGGACCAACAGATTACAGCTGTCATCATCAACAGAAAAGAACACAAGCTGAAGGTGTGTTTTAAGGCCCATTATACTAATCATTCTCATTTAGTTGGTAGGAACTGATGGTCATAGATCCTACCTGTGCTGAGTATTCATCTGTTCAGCATGAGATGCTGTTTTCAGGGTCATAGTTTTTATTGATTTCAGGAAACTGTCTCTCAGAGGTATGAAAATTTGCTTGCACTATTTGAATAACCTCCAGAGTATGAAACCTTACCTTCATCGGGAAAATCAGTTTTAACTTTAGCATGCTTAGCCTTGATTTAAGAAAATATTCAATTCTGGTGAAGTACATTTTATACCAATCTGCCTATGTTTGGGATTCCTCTTTCTTTTATTTGACACCAAGTATGTTCATTATTATAAGGGACCATGTATTCAGGTATGTTTCACTGAATTACATCATTTAGAAATATTATTTGTTTGCAATGCCTAAAACAAAGGAAAACTTTGGCTATAAATACTATAGTTTGTAAGTAACGTCTTTGAGAATTATTGCAGATTTCTAACAAACTTTTGAAACAAATAGATTTTATTTACTGTATATTCTGTCCTGCTGTTTTGTAATTGTAATTAAGTATTTTTCACTATTATTCAATTTTTATGCAATATAAGTATCATTTATACAAATGTTAAGTTGATAAAATATTGAATGGTTCAAAATAATCAGAATCAATTAAGGAAGATGGGTCAGAAGACGGTTAAGAGCCAGAGGAACAGAAAGGCTGCTGTGAGATAGGGAAGCTATACCCATGAAACCTCAAGGATAACACCGATAGACATGTTGACATGAAAGGGAGAAGGTCACCAGGTCCATTACTAGACCAAGAACTACAGGCTGCTAATGATTGCTAGGGGAGGAATTCATATTTCCCAGGGATGAGTCCCCTCATTGGTTAGCCAGTACCTAATGATCAGCGCTGAAGTCATAGACACACAACAGCACTAAATGGAATCAGCAGGTTATATGTGCATACTTACACATTTCAGTGTGTGTGTGTGTGTGTGTGTGTGTGTGTGTGTGTGCGTGTGTATGGTGTGTATGTAACAATCATAAAGAAAAAGAAGCCATGACTCTGAGAGGGAGGTGGGGAACATGGCAGATGTTAAAGGGAGGGTGCATGGAAGGGTTTGGGAGCAGGAAAGAGTTGGGGAAATGAAGTAATTATATTTAATTAGAACTTTTATAAAATCAAAATCAATCCTTGTAAAATAGGACATGTACAGTCTTATTCTGTTCTGACCTGAAGAAATTGCCAGCTGCCTTTGCTTGTCTCTAAAACTAAAAATTATTGCTGAAGTAACAGCTATTGTGCTATGTACAATTTTATAAATATATTAGGCTAATTAAAATATCTATGAAAACTATTTCACTGATATAACAATAAGCATTTATAAGAATGTACAGTTGCTTATAATAAATTATATTAAGGAGTTTGGGGTACATACTAGAGAGAGTGGGCATTCCTCATTCTCTTGAAGAAACTAGTGATGAAACTTCTTTTAAATATAATTAATTAAATTTGTGTGTGGTTTTTGTCAAATAAAATGTTTAATTATTGAAAATATCCATTTCACATTTTCTGTGAACTCTTAGGGATGGCAGCTATTGTGGCTTACACCAGAAACCACAGCACTTGGGAAAGTGACTCAGGAGCATGCATGAGTTCAAGGCTACCCTGGCTACATAGAGAATACAAATACAAGTAAAAAAATACAATGAAGTAAATAAGTGCTAGACTGTTGCTGTGTTGGCCTAACCAGTTCTCCATATAGGAAGCAGAGACCCTGACTTACAACGCTGCTGTTTTTCATGGTTCATACTACCGACTGATATCAACTAAGGAAATTTTTATTTGTTTTTATTCACACATTTATTCAATTCACAATTTGACCAATGCAGAGAAAGATTTAATAAAATTTGTATTCCTCCATTATTTAAAAAAAACTTGGGAAACTGAGGTTCAAAGTAATCAAACACTAAGAATAACAAAAAACAAATGCAATATATGACAAGTTCACAACCAATATCATCCCAAATGAGGAAGAACCTGACGCACTCTCTCTGAGACCAGGACCAGGACATGGCAGCCTGCTCTGCTCTCTCTTACAGGGTACAGCAGTTTGACAGGAGAAAGGGATGAAAGCACACAAATAGAAAATGAGGGAGAAAATTATCCGCTGTCCATGAAAAAAGCCATTGAGTAATTAGTTTTTGGAAGTGAAAGAATTGGCTCCAAAGCTTCACTAAACCAGGCTATTTTATATTATAGGTTTTATTTATTTTATTTTTAAAATTTATTTTATTTTTAAAAATAAGGAATTCAGATCATAAGTTTAATAACCTCATTAATTTGAATATATTTAATTTAATTTTGTAATATTTAATAGTTTCAGAATTAATTAAAAAGCAAATATCACCACAACTTTATTATTAATACAGCACAGCTAGTCACAGCTCAGCACAACTCTGTAAAGTCAGTTGAGCATGATGCTGCAAAGTGTAGTAACCCGTACTCGCTAAAATCTAGAATCACTATACTATACATCTTGGTCTTTTAAAAAAAAAATATCTTTACTTTTCTGTTTTTATATGAGTTTGATTTATAAACCAAACAATATGAAAAGTTAAAGGGAAAAAGTGAAAACTCTATATTTCATTAATCTGAAAGTGGCATCATTGCTTATGCTTTTCATACAAACCTAGGTAGCTTTTCCTTGGTTAGCTACACAGAACTCCTGGTCCATGCAACATATCCAGCTCAAAGCAAATATTTTACATAGTACATATACTATCTGCTGTTTTCCATATAGGAACATTTCATTAAAGACTATGTCAACTCCATAAATCTGGATTATCATTTAAATAGCTATGTATTTCATTATACTGAAGTTTTAAATTGAACTAAGGACTATTAGGGGGAAAAAGATATAAAGTCATCGATTGGCTTTCAACAGAGTAGTTTAGCCTTTGTAATAACAGGCAGAAATGCCACCTTGCTGAAGCCTGGCTATCTTTCCAGACTGTGAGTTAAACTGCTCTAGGTTTAACTGTTCCAAATCATTACTGGAATTATATTTAGAAGACTAGACATTGATGGAGATTTAGTATCATCTTCTCAGCTGTCACATAGCCTTGCTCCTTCTAGGCTTCAGACTTGGGGATCACAGGTCTTTGTTCTTGTTCCTTGTTCTTCATACAAATAAATAAGTCTTCTACATTTGTGACTATTGCAAAGTTCTAAATATATCCATCGTTTTTCTCCTTTAAATCAAGGAGAGTATTGCTAGCATAGTAAAACTTTGTTTAAGGGTCCTCCAAAGTTCTCGATGGCATTGAATGGAATGAAGAATGAAATTGTTTAATATTTGTCTTGGAAATAAACACAAGGCTATATTACATAATCTCTTTTGTTACACAGTTAAATCAGTATAGATGTAAAGATTAAAATTTAAATCTGAGATCAGACAGGACCCATCACATTGTGCTGTCCTCCGCCAGCTGTCTGCAGTCCGAGTGCTCTGTTCTCACGTTGGATGTAGATATTTTCAAAGCAGGTTCCCTCCAGTCAGAATTTAGCAACAAGAGAAACTTACTTCCTGCATAGTGCCTTTTCCTCCTATAAGTTCCATTATAATATAATCTATTGTTGGTTTTCCTCCTGACAACAATGAAAGTATACTTTCTTAGAAGACTGCTTACTAAGAATAACACTTTACTCCATGGCTATTCAACATGCCTGTTGCTACACTCAATTTTTTTTAAAGTTTTCTGGCTTTGGCTTGAGATTCGTATTTATAAAAAGATGTTTCCTGAATACATCCTCAAATCACAAGCTAAACTACACTTTCAGATTTTACTAATTTTTTTTTAATTGAAGGCTAATTGTTGGTTGGTTGCAACACTGTCTGGAATTGTTCCTCCATTTCTGTGTCAAACACTTTGTGGTCTTCACTGAGTGTGTCTGAGTGCACATCATCTCTTCGGGTCATCCCAGCATTCATGTCATTTTCTGTATCTTCCAAATGTATTGTATATCTTTCTGATTTTTCCTCGCCGTATTGCCAGAACCACTCATTTTCTTTTACATGGTATTTTTCATGACAGCAAGAAAATGTTCTTACAATAATATTTGCTAGTAAATACACAATTAAGTGTTGCGCTAAGGAGATTCACTAGTTAAGTAACTTACTATACCTGAGAATGGGGAGCGTAAAATTAGCAAAACTTGAAATCACGCAAACATGAAAGCAGTCACAAATATCATAATATGACCATGAAAAATACTATATATTGTATAGATGTACACTTAAATCCATGCTCTAGAATTTTTTTTCCCTTTTAGAGTTGGAGGGCATAGGGGTTAGCTGAATCCTTTTCAAAGGCATTAAAAACAAGAGCTTGGTATTGTTTAGGGCTTGCTATATAGAAGTGGAAATAAAGAGAGACATTATTTTGTAGAAAAGAAAGTTTCTGTTAAGATACAGCTCTGGGATTTTCTGCATGTTTCTGTAGACAGTTCAGGCTTCTTTTGACATAATTTTTAATAAACAGCAATACAATCCCAGATCACCAGAGTAAATGAATGCATTTGCAGCATTCATTTGGCACCGCATCCCCTTGATGATTATGGCATTTGATATGTTCTTTTTTGCCCTCTTTGTCAGCCTGGTTCTTCATGTCAATCTATAGTCTTTTATGTGGTTAACTTGACAGATGCAGGAAATTGCTGCCAAGCTTTGCAATGATTTTTTTCAGCGGTGGCATCTGGGTATCAGATGGTCCTCTTGGCTGGCCTCTTGTCTTGCTGCATGTTGGTTTTAGTGGGGTCTGGTGCAGCATCACCTGTTGCTATGCTCCCTCTTCCTCCCATATGTCCATTTCCCATGATTCAAGGATGAATGTGAGAATAAAAGCTACAGTTCTGTCTTTATTTTTGAAAAAAAAAAGCTACAGAAATATGTTGCAAGGTGCAGAGTTCTCTCTCTGACAAAGGGATACTTCCTTTTGGCTGGCATGCCTAATCAGCTAATAATTTGTTTGCAGCGAACTAGTTTTTAAAAACATTTTCAAAGAAAGGCAAGAAGGATGCTGATTAATGAGTGGAAATGTCAAACTGCTTTATTTCCATTCAGTCAAATTATTCTTATTGTACAGAATAATTAAGGGAAATCATGTATTCATTTTAAAGATGAAATTATTTTCTCTAAAATAATTATCTTGCCCACTTCCAGAAATCCAAAATTCTATTGTTTATGCTTATATCATATTTTAAAAAACTAGTGCGAGCTACAGGAAGTCATTGTTCTGAGGAAGACTTTCTTTATATTAGTACATGTAATATATGCGGATGCCTAGAAAATTCAGCATCTCCTAATAGAATAAAAAAAATGTAAAAATCCTCAGCTCTTCAGGAGCTGTCATCTTTTTTTCTTTTGCTCTTCAGCGTGTGGCCCAGCACTCCTCAGAGATCCCACTCACTTTGGGTAGCATCACAACTTGAAAATAGTTCCGCAACACAATTGCATTGAATCCCCTCAGATGCAGGAATTTTGGTAACTAATTCATATTCTAATTTGCAGTCCCTGGGACGAAACACACTTGTAACTGCTTCAGGCATTGCTTTTCAAGGGCTTGAGTTTTATACTCTGAAACTATAGCTTACAAAATGTTTTGCCAAACTATTTTTCTATGCACTTTTGGTTATGTTTACACCAGGAATTGTTTTCCATTTTCTGGATCTCCCCTGGCATTTTGTCATCTCTATCAGGGCAACTGTAACTACCCTAATTATTCTATAATTAAAATTGTTACATTGGATTTTAAGATACATTTCAAGAATGCATGTTTCCTTATAAAAAGCCATTCCACTCAGGACTGCCCATGAGTTCAAGGCCAGGCTGGTCTACATAATGAACTGCAGGACACTTAATCTATATAATAAGACACTGTAACAAAAAAAAAAAACCTGCAAATTCTATTGATTGTTTTCTGTGTGTTAATAATTATGCTAAGGAACAATGGAAAATACCAAGCAATGATTTGACATTATCTGTCCTTAATAAACTTGGTTTTTTAATAGGAGAAACTAACATGCAGTTGGTGCTTATGATATAGCACATGTTACTCTCAATGACTTCTAGAATGAAACAATTTAGTTATCACAACTTAATGAGATGCCTTTGATTATCATTATCAACTTCTCTCAGATAGGAAAAGGCCTGAGATTTGTTTTTTGCTGTGTTTAATTTTATTTTTAATTGAAAATTGTTACTTCTCTCATGTAATTTATCTGACCACAGTTCCTCCTCCCTCCACTACTCACAGCCCCCTCCCATCTCTCCTCTCCCCTAGAGTCACACACCTGCTCTGGTTCCTTTTCAGAAAAGAGTTGGCCTCCAAGAGACAACAGCCAAATAGGACAAAAACAAAATGCAGTAGGACAAGGTGAAAGCCCTCATATCAATGCTCAACAAACCAACCCACTAAGAGGAAAAGAGTCCCAAGAACAGGCAAAGAGTCAGAGACACACCTGCTCCCACCATTAGGAATCCCATGAAAACTCCATGCCAATAGCCACAACATATACACAGAGAACCTCATGCAAACCTTTGGAGGCCCATGCTTGCCATCATTTGATCCCAACAATGCATTTCCAGAACTATGATGCTTATACTTTCATGAAGTTGAATTAAAAAATAAAAATAAGAACCAGAACACAATATAGATCAAGAGTTTTGCAGCTTCTGGGGTTTTTACACTTTCTACACCCACAGGGCACAGCTGGAGGGGCCAAGAGTGCCTTTGAGTGTCTTTTGAACTATTTCCTCGGAGATCTAAACCAATCAGCCTATCAAGAGAGCCATTTCTGAACAGCCTGGCACTTACTTTTCCTCAATTTCCTTCCTACACTTAAGTGTGGGACAGTGAGAGTCAGGTGGAATTAGAGAGAAGGCAGGAAACACAGATGCTCTTATTTCGAGGGATGACTGGATTCATTGACTGTTGAGAAGTCCCCAATGCACTGAGACAGAAGTGAGACTAAGTAAGGGAGATTAGGCTCTGTGATACTCTTTCCAATAAAACACCTCCTGCTGAAACAGAAGCGGGCTGCTGGAAACAGTATTTAGGGGCTTAGTTCAAGGGCATCTGCCATGAAGGGACTCTCAGTATTGTCAGGAAGTGGTTTCTATTCACAACCAAGACATCCGTAACTTGTTGCTGACACCACTCCCTTCTCTTTCTGTTGTGTCTTTAACAGAAAGGTTGTGGCTATCACCTGGATCTGTTAATGGTGGCTGTCATGCTGGGTGTGTGCTCCATTATGGGCCTGCCATGGTTCGTGGCTGCCACAGTCCTCTCCATCACACATGTCAACAGCCTGAAGCTGGAATCAGAATGCTCTGCTCCAGGAGAACAACCCAAATTTCTCGGCATCAGAGAACAGAGGGTGACTGGGCTCATGATTTTTATTCTTATGGGTTCATCCGTTTTTATGACCAGTATTCTGAAGGTAATAAAATTATCCCTGATCAAAGAATGAATATATTTAAGGTAGCAGTTTAATATAAACATAAATTGGTAAATATTGCATGGCATGAGATAAAAGTGATATATTATTTAAAATTTTATATTATTTTCCTTCACCAAGTATGAATGAAAATTGTGCTATGTTTTAGAGTCTTTAAGTACATGAACGTGTAATTTTGTTGTACTTCCTGACAGCAACAATTCTGATTTGTAATTTTCAAGCTATGGGAGAAGCTCATATTTCCTGAGCAGCTAGTGACTGAGTTCACTGTACTCCGGCCCAGGTTAAAGGGTCTATTATTTTGTCAGTATGTAGATTGGATGTAATTTACTATAAGTGAGTAGCACAGACTGGACAATGCCGTGGTCGCAAAGACAGCTTTTTATTTCGAAGGCCATATGTAAATCAGCATTGCATATAAGAAATCTTCACATTTGAAATTATCAAATTAATTTTGAGTAGCAGTAAAGAGGGATTGTTTTATGATATAAATCTGGCAGATATTCTTACAGCATATTAGTTGCTTTATAAATTATCATTCATTTTGATTGCTTAAATATCAAATATTAATTGAATTATTTAATTTACACAGCTTCTTGTATCTAATCACTGCAAAAATGTATTTCTGCTATATAAGTAAAAGGATACTGGATAAAATGAGCTAGCCCAATAAAAGAAATTCGAACAATGCACATGTTAACAAATATCTGCCGTAACCTAGGACCAAATTGTAAATTAAACTTTGTTCTTAACCATTAATCCAGATATTTTACTATTTTAAAATAGAATGTAAACTGTCTTTATGTGGCTAATAGTCAATCTTCGTTATGGTGCAGTAATAGTTTATAATACTATTTATTTCTTAGGAATCATCAGGCTTTTAGGGTAAGTCTAACACTTAACTGCACTATTGTCTATTTTAGATATTGAGACACTAAGGTGCAGGCAGTTTATGTAACTGCTTCAGTTACCCAGATAGAAATGCCGGGGTAGAGTCTGAACTATGTCCTCCAATCCTACATCATACTGGCTTCTAGAATGTTTTTAATTTTCTCTTTTCCTCCCTCTGTGGTAGGTGCAAAATGAATGACCACATGTTGGAAAATAATGCCTCATGTTTTCTAATTGTTTTGTTTTGTTTTGTTTGTTTACAGTTTATCCCCATGCCAGTGTTATATGGAGTGTTTCTCTATATGGGTGCTTCATCTCTAAAGGGAATTCAGGTAAATTACTTTACTCTTACAGGCGTACCTGTTGGAACTTCAAGTACAGATGTGAGTCATGTGACAGCAGCCATCATCTGAGGAGAGGCTTTCTGACCACATGTAAATTTTTTTAAAGTGGCCAGAATTGTAGATGCTAAAGAGGAGTCTCTACTAAATAGGCACTCTCTCACTTATGTGCTTTTATCCAGCCCCAAAGATAGGTAGCCTTAAATTGCTATGTGCATGTGTGCATGTTTGGGTGTGATTCCACAGATGTGTGGAAGGCAGAAGACAACCCTGCTATCCAGTCGGAGTGGCTGTCCAGTGAACCCAGGGATGTTTCTAACCTGACTTCCCCAGCACTGGGATTCCAGCCAAGCACCACCATGACTGTTTTTACTAAGTGGGCTCTGAGGACCTGACCTCAGTCTTCATGCTTGTTCGGCCAGCACTTTGCCAGATGAGATGCCATTTACCATAAATATATTAACACTGAAAAGAGTTTAGTTTCCATCACCCTTTTGGAAAATGAATTAATTTCATTTCAAGATATGTACAAATGCAAACTATGATAGTCATCAAGCCATTTTTATGGATTCTGTCCACAACATTAGAAAGAATGCCTATACAAAAGATTTATTTTGGTTTGTGGTCTCAGGAGATTTCAGGCCATCGTAGCAGGCCTGGTAGAGCAGCTCTGTCTACAGCAGTGGAAATATGGATAATGGTTGGTCACAGGGCAGCAAACCAGAAAGCAGAGAGTGTGGGGCGTGAACTATTGGCTGGCTATAACTTTCAAAGACCTGGCCCCCAGGGACAGAATTTTGCTATCCCACACCACTTGTTAAAGGTTTCACAGCCTCCCAAAGCAATGCCACCACGGGAGATCAGGTGTTCAGAAAACGAACCTGCGGGGAACACTTAAGACTCAAACTGTATCCCAATAGAACATCCCCATTGACTTAGTGTGTGGGTGCACCCCTCGTGGTCCTGAGTTCCTTGCTCGTGCTCCGTCTCCTTCTGCTCCTGATTTGGACCTTGAGATTTCTGTCCGGTGCTCCCGTGTGGGTCTCTGTCTCTGTCTCCTTTCATCGCCTGATGAAGGTTAATATTCCTGAGGATGCCTATGTGTTTGTCTTTGGATTCACCTTATTTAGCTTCTCTAGGAACTTGAATTATAGGGATCTCACCAAGGCCAGCTGGCCTAGGTCTGAAAAAGCATGGGATAAATCCGGACTAGCTGAACATAGCGGACAATGAGGAATACTGAGAATTCAAGAACAATTGCAGTGGGTTTTTGATCCTACTGCACGTACTGGCTTTGTGGGAGCCTAGGCAGTTTGAATGCTCACCTTACGAGACCTGGATAGAGGTGGGCAGTCCTTGGGCTTCCCACAGGTCAGGGAACCCTGATTGCTCTTCGAGCAGATGAGGGGGGGGGACTTGATCGGGGGAGGGGGAGGGAAATGGGAAGCGGTTGTGGGGACGAGGCAGAAATCCTTAATAAATAAATAAATTTAAAAAAAAAAAAGACTCAAACTGTATCTGAGCAGGACAGAAAGACAGAAGGAAGAGGGCCATGGCAGGGTGGAGGTAGAGATTGGAGTTTTGCTGCCGCAGCGTAAGAATACAGCAAACTGAAGAACTGCAGGAAGTGGAGAGGCTCCTTCTCCTAGGGATCACAGAGGTCATAGTCCGGCCAAGGTCTTCATTTCAGCCTTTTGACCTCCACAACTAGACAATACATTTTTTTTTTTGCATTAAACCAAAATGCTGTAGGAGTTTGTTCTGCTACTTTCAGAAACAAATACAGATTTTTCTTAAATTGACCTTGAATTGCCTTTGTTTATAGTGCTGCTCTTTGGCCAGAACACTTCCTTTTCTTCATAAGAGACTGCTATGGGGCTTACTTACTGTATAGATCTCTTTTTAAGCTAAACATAATATGAAGAGCAGTTTTTGCTATGGTGTGGCAACACTAACTGCTTACCAAAACATGCTGAGGAGTTAAATCCTGGCTGGGGCACAAGGAGCGCAAGATCTCTGTCCCTGAGCAAACTGACCTCCTGCCTTCCAACTCTTAGAGAAGCAGCAGTCAGACCTTGGAACAGTGTAGGCTGTTATAACTGAGACAAAACTTCAACAGGAGGCCATTGTAAGATGCTGAAACACACAAAGCATAGGGACTAGGCCTCAAGAAAGGGGGCGTGATAGGAGCAGTTAGGTTTTCAGAGTTTACTCAGAGATTTAATTTGCTCATTTAAAGTATCATGTATGAAATGCATTTTAATAGAATTAGTTTAGGGTTTTCATTTGTTTTTGATTTTTGATTTTTTTTTTTTGCCTTTGGCAAAAGTTTCAATGACTAGTGATTTTGTCTGTAAGTGGAAAGCATTTATTATTAGGCCTCAGGCTCACATAAATAGAGCATCAGGAATTTAAAAAACAAAGCAAAACAATTGTGGGTAGATCCTGACAGATTTTCTTCTAATTTCATTCAAATGATTTTTTTTTTTTACCCACATGGTTTGGAATTAAACAAAAATGTCAAGTTTTAGGATTACTTGGGGTGTGATCCTTTCAAGTGAAGTTTAGGAAAAACATCGAAGTCCTCAAGTCAAATTTAATTAGTTATAAATCACATTAATGAAACAGAAAGCCTAGGCACACGTTGACAGGTCTCATGTTGAGAACAGAATTGGTGGAAATTTAAGTGAACAGTTAACATTCCTATTGGGAATTGACGCTAACTGGGTGGGGAAATACTACATGCTGCTATTGGGCCATGCTGAAAGCCAAATGCAAAACTTAGAATAAAATTATCACGATTGTTATTCTTGGAGTAGTACTAGGCAGGCACATTAGCTGTCTATGTCAGATATCCTAAGGAGCATGCTACTTTGTAACCTAGCAAATTGGAGGACTTTTTCTGTCACCTGGCTTTTTGGCACTATTAAGGAACTTACTATGTAGGCTTCTCACTGTGAAATATGGCAGAAAAAACAGATCACAATGTTCTCATGAATGCTGTTTCTGTATTCAAATATATAACCACATCTATATTCATTCCAACATTGCAGGGATCCAAAGTGAAGCAAATGTGCCACTTAAACAATAACAATTGAAGCACCCACTCCCTGAAGCACACTTATGCAACAGCACAGTTCCCTAAATGGGTAATGATGGGTAGGGAAAATTCTATAGGAATAGACATTCAGTTGTAAGCTAAAGGGTTGTTTTCTTCTTCTTCCTCCATGCACAAAATTGTATCTGTTTAATGATTCCTGATTTTAAGAGAGGGTTATGAAGTAGAAAAGACACACATACACACACCACACGAGAGGTGAGCCAAGAATGAGGTTAGCAGTCAGTTCTGTCATGGGTTTCAGCAAAAACTTTGGAATGTTATGAATGAATATTGGTGGATGCTGTAATGTGCATTTGATTGCAGTTTACATAACTGGAGAACAGTTGTGCCATACATAAGGCAGAGAAGACCAAAGGGAAGATAGGTTTATGTTGTTTGGTATCCTATTACACCTATTCCATATAAAATTGGATTTTGGCAAACCAGGATGCTCTAGTCCTAACTCTGCAAATACTTGTTTATCTGCCCTGTATGTAAAGTTGAAAGATTTGATGATAAGTAGCTGATAGTTTTCTTATGGTAGCTGAGCAATATTTTATTTATCAATGTTCTGTTGAAGCTGTGTAGCATATATTATCATAAAATTATGAAATATGATAGTGGCTGAGGGTGGTCAAAACCACTGTTTTCTAAATAGCCACCTCTCACTGAAAGAATTACATAAATAAAATTTGGCCTAAAGATTAAACAAGTGGCTCACAAAATGAAACTAATATGTAGTAAAATCAATTATTCAGCAAAATATATTGAAGTGTCTATAAAAATGTAATTTATAAAAAATTTATTTTATTTATCATTATGACAAAATTGAAATAGGCATAATCCACTGGTTACACTGGTTCCATCTATTAAATTAACCCAAACAAGGTAGTTTGCAATTTTTTATGTATCTGCATTGATATGCATTATATGTATGCATACATGCAGGTATTGGTGCAGTTGCATGTACCTAGGTATGCACAGGTTCACATGAATATGTGTGCGTGCATATGGAGGTGCTGAGTCAACCCTGGGTATCTTCCTTGGTCACTTGTCACTTGTCTTCTAAGACAGGGTCTCTCAGTGAACCTGGAGCTCACAGATTTGCTAGACTGGCTGGCCAATGAGCTCCAGGGATGCACTAGAGTCTCTCTGCTGACTAAACTATCTCCCCAGTCCCCAAGTATAAAATATAATAAAACACTTTGGTCACAAAAATATATGTAGGCCAAATCTTTATGTAAGTTGTGTATGTTTCTAAAGACAGCATCAAAACCTTTGTTGGGGACCAAAGTGCCAAAGCCAAAATGGCAGGGTTCAATAAGGAGGAATCCAAGGCACCCTACACAACAGCAGGGAGTTGTGTGGCCCTTGAAGGAAGCTGAGGTCTGTCTGGGAGTACTTAGCATGTGAAAGCCAAAGCCATGAGGGTAGATGGTGCACTCTGGGAGAAAAAAAAAGCACACCAAGCATAGGAAGCCTAGAAGACCAATATTTGGGGACAAAAGGGAGAGGTTATGATGTGATAAACAGAAAGAGAACGAATGTATCTTGTCTGACATAGTGGTGGTTCTCAAGGTAGCAAAATGTAGCACTGACTATATGCAAACCGTTTTAAATGACACCTTGTTATCATATTATAGGAAATACAGTATACTGTTCGATAAACAGAAGCCCACACTGTTTGTCATTTTCAATGTCCTGCAGTTTTTACAACTGTGTCATTTGAACCTAATATTTTGGGACATACTAAATATCTAATTGTCCTACTGTTATTGTTGTCTTGTTCTTAAAATGCAATATAGTCTGTTTAATCTTTTAGTTATTTGACAGAATAAAGCTCTTCTGGATGCCAGCCAAACATCAACCAGATTTTATATATCTAAGGCATGTACCACTTCGGAAAGTCCATCTCTTCACAATTATTCAGATGAGCTGTCTTGGTCTTCTGTGGATAATCAAAGTCTCAAGAGCTGCTATTGTCTTTCCTATGATGGTATGAAACTTCCCCTAACACTTTCTCTTTAACTGAATTTTGGGAAACACATGAACTAAAACAGCAATAACCGAGTAGCCTTGAATCACTTTGAGCAGTTACTAGAAAATCTAGTATAAACTTGGGCACTAAAATCAGGCTTGAAAAATATTTTGCATTTTGCTGATTTAATATCAGTTTCTTTACTTGGTCACTTATAATGTAGTAGTTAATGGAAAGCGGGATGGAAAACGTAAATTTAAAAAAATAGCATTGGAATATACTAACAAATATGAAAAATTAGGCAAATTTTTAAAAATGAAATTTAATTGAATGTTTTAGACATATTTTAAATGCATTTATAAGTATAGTAAATTTGAATGACTATATGTAATTCAAAAATTATTAGCATATAGAATTTTTAATGTTCACTTATCCTAATTTGAGCTTTTAATTATGCATAATCAAGTATATTTCATAGTTTAAAATTTTTCTTTAAGATGCCTTTGACATTGAATGAAATCTTAGATTCTATCCTGGTGATTTGATAAGAAAAGGAAATAAAGAGAAAGATTAGGCCATATTTTAGACACATGTGTTTTCAATTTTTAGTTTAATGGAAGTCCTAAGGCTCATCTATATAGTTTACATTTTAAACTATTTTGTTATTGTCTTTAGGTGTTAGCCCTGGTATTTGTGAGGAAGTTGATGGACTTCTTGTTTACCAAACGGGAACTCAGCTGGCTTGATGATTTAATGCCCGAGAGTAAGAAAAAGAAACTTGAAGATGCTGAAAAAGAAGTAAGTCAGAATAAACCTTGGTATTTATTTAAGAGAAGAACAATAATGGTGCACACCTATAATCCCAGCACTCGGAAGGCAGAGGCAGGCAGATCTCTGTGAGTTCGAGGCCAGCCTGATCTACAGGAGCTAGATCCAACGCTGTTACACAGAGAATCCCTGTCTTGAAAATCAAACAAATAAACAGAGAACAAGCCAGAGATCTTACACAAGTAAGGCAATTCTACATGAAAAATGAAAACTTGTGCATTTGTTTACTCTCTAAACTATAAGGCTTATTTTCTGATTTCTTGATCATGGGTGGGGGGAAAATTGCTAAAGTGTAACTGTTTCTGAGATATAGCCATGTGATGATTGCTTTTGGTTGAATGTTTGAAAAGGAAATAATGTGATATATTTCACTGTTGGTAATGTTTCTTGCTAAGAGGTTTTAATCAGTAGATTCGAATAAAGTCATTATTCTTTCTTATGGTGGTGGTGGTGAGGGGGGGGGGGTGTCGAGACCTGACTGGCTCCTAAAGTGATCCAAGCTTTCAAAACTTATTTGAGAAAACTTCGGGTTTTAGTTATTTTCACAGACTACTGATTTATTCTATTCCTGTTTTATAAGAAGAAACAAGTTAGATATAAGCTTTATGAAATATATAAAGTTCCCATGCCAGCCTGAATCCTTTTTTGAAGGCTATTTAATCACACCATTTTAAAGCTCATAAAAAACTATAAGGAATGTAAATGAAAATAAAAAAATAAAAACATTTTTAGCAGAGTAACTGAGCCCAAAGATTACAAACACAAAAACAAAAGAAAAAGTTCTGTATATAAACGAAATAGAAAGGAAACATTTTAGGAGACTTGTTCATTCTTTCCAGTATTGTTTTCCCAGGTGATTACTAAAAGCATTCAGTTTCTTTTCCACTGAATATTTTTTGGACCACAGATACTTTTCTTCTTTCCTGTAGGGAAATTTATTTGCAAACACAAAAACAGTTTTAGTTTTGCTCAGTCATTTGGATAAGCCAGATTGGGCCACAAATTCTGATGAATTTTTGGCAAAGAACATTCAACCAACATAGCTATATAACCTGTGATTTGTGGACCCTTCCTCCATGGTATCCACATATAAAGACATCACGATGGTGTATCTTTTTTCTGTATGAATGTTTCAAATTTCCAAAATGTTGTAGAAGGCATGTATGGGTCATATTTCTAGCAATGTTAATGCCACGTTAAAATAGTGTGAAACTGGCACTAGTCCTTGACTTTTCTGTTTACTGTATTTGTCTAAGTAGCCGAGCTCTTCTAAGAATAATAACTTAACAGTGCCTATATGATGAACTTAAACTTACCCCACCTGAAAAACTTCCCAAGATTTAAAGTTGAAAGACAATATTTATTGTCTATGAATTTACCCCATCTTCCCAAAGATTTTATTACTGAGCTCATTTGTCTAGTAACATATACATTATGTTTTCTTTATTGCACTGCTTTTATTTCCTGTCAAACATCTTTTCGGTTTCTGGTGGGATAAGGTAGAGGCACTCTTTTCCATAGAGTTCCATCTCTTTCACACAGTGTTCTCCTGAGGCCATTCTCAGAGTGAAACGGTCTTAGAATTTCATTTCTCTTAGTGTTTGGGAAATTCCTAAGGAAAATGCTGTGTAAGCCACTATGCTGTCATTGTCATTTTTCTCTATTATTCTAGAAAGACAATGTCAGATGCTCCTGTTTGTTCGTGACATTCAGAGAACAAGTTGACAGTACTCATAAATGTTTTAGAACTAGCCACTGTAACTTTGCACAATGATATCCAGCCAAAAGGTTTATCTCAGATATGATTATTGCTAATAGAATTAGTCACTCCTCTTGCCCATAACTACTTATAATGTTATATATATAATATATATTAACATATACATTATCTATGTATATATTTGCATTTGGGGGAGTTTATTAACTCCACTGAGACCTTGTATAGAATTTTAACCTTTTTATATTATATCACATTATGCCTTACTGTGCTTTGATAGTATTTACTGTTTTTGAATTTAAAAGTAAAGATTTTTAAGAGTAACTAGATATCACTAAATTTCCTAGAACTTATACTTCCAGCAAGAACATAAAAATAGAATAAGACTTACTGGGGGAATTTTATAGTTGAATCCTTCAGTTCCAAATATGAGGGGGAAAATAACTTGCAATATATTTACCAGAAGGGTTTAGAAATCCTTAAAATCTCACAAAGATTATGACGATGATATTTCATATGATCCCAACTGCATGGAAATAAACAAAAAACCCGCTGTTTCATTCAAGGAATAACCTATCCTCAAACATTGAAAAGCAGTTCTAAATAGTGCAAAGAAGACATCACACCAAGAGTGTGGAGAGATAAGGAAGGACGTGTGAAGATGCTTATGTTCTATTTAGAACTAGCATCGGGAAAGCAGAACCGGTGAGGAGTGGAGGAGGCCCTGTGGAGGATGACACTGAAGCTTAAATCCAAGGTTAATTTTCTACTTGGGGGCCCAGACTTGGGTATCTTCTTTTTTCTGAGCCTATGAATTCCCCTGAAAGACATGACTGTACTGTAGTGTCTTGTACCACTGCCCAGGACTCCAAGAGACTGTACAGTAGTGTGGGTAATGGATAAGTTCTTCAGAAATGTTGAAATTAATTGAGGAACTCTGGTTGTGATCTGGCAAAATGATAAACGGCAGAAATGTCTCAGCTCCCTGAGACTTGAATTTAAAGCGAGCTCACCTCTGGTCCTTCTGATGATAGTTACAAGCTTGGACCTTTATCCTCCAGGGTTTACCTATCAGTAGCCCATTTCTTGTCTTATGGCACTGAGAAAACATTCATTTGACCTTAAAATTCAATAATGAGTTAAGCAGAATAAATAGCTACACAGGCCAGTCCAAGGTCGCAGAGCTTCTGTTCCAAATTTTCATGTACTTCATGCATATGCATATACATATGCTTCAGCTTTTAGAAAGAAAGGATTATAATCAGGGTAGAAATGAATATTGGAACCCTGACATTTTGCACATTGCTCTGTGTAAAGGGAAGACTGCAGAATCAATTCTGAATGTCCAAATGTGCTCAGAGTACCAACATGCCTTCCTCCCTACTTAAATATTCCCTAGGACATTGTACTCATCACAAAAGGACTACTGTTAAATGCAGAAAATTCCAGCAGAATGTTTACTCTCAGGTGGAAAGCGTGGGTACCGGTGTTAGGTAGGGGTGGAGATGCAATTCCGTGGAAGTAATCATTTCTATACCTTCTTCATTACTGAGGGACTGCTCTAACACATACCCTATAGAAGAAAACAAAAAATAAGGCAAACTGGGCCTTGTGATCATGAAAGATTCCAAGAAAGTACAATCTAAAAATAAGCACAATTAAATAAATCAAAGCAAGTGCTTCACCTCTCAGAAAGGTAAGAGTTGGCTGTGGGTTTAGGAAGCACATCCTAATTACAAACATAGAGAAACGGATTTTATGATTCAACTTATGGAGTGGGACAAGTATGTTCTATCTCCTAAAGCAGCTCTCTCCCAAAATCTGGTTCCAGGGTCTCTGCTGCACCAGCCAGCACCTTGCACTATTTTAAAAATGCAAATTCCCAGGCCTGTTTCATCAAGTGATGCATATCAGAGCCAGAAATCTATTTTTCTTAGACCTCCAGGTGATGTTGACATCTGAGATAAACCTTTTATTAGACTCACATAATCTCAATCTCTATAAAACAGCAAAGTTCTTTATACAAGATTACCATATCAGAGATTTTTATATTTAAAGTAATTTAGGCAGTTACGTAAAGGTGCTGAATCCGGACCAGTGAGATGGCTCAGCAGTACAGGCACTGCCCATCAAGCCTGCCGACCAGCTTGCTTCCTGGAACCCACATATGCAAGGAGAGAACAAACTCCTGCATGTTGTCTTCTGACTGCCACAGGTGCTCATCTCGCACACGCATGCACACATGCACACACACGTGTGCGCACACACGCACAAAATTCAAAACTTTGCTGAGCCATAGGTTCTGATGACTCCATGGGCTTGCTGAATTCTATATGCCCCACCCCACTTTTGCCTTTTAAGTTTTTATTATTTTATGCTATCAACTCTTTAATCTGTTAGAAAACAGAAATAATAGTTCTTAAAAGTATACTCCTTATTGTTTTCAAATTTATACATATGCAATATCTGAAGATGATGGTATTAGTTGAGAGAAGGAGATGGTATGAATTTTTTAACTTCTTCTTGCCTTATTTGCCTCTTCAATAAAATGAAGTGTTGAACGTGACTCCTGAATCTCCTCCCATTTCTTAGGACACATGAATTGCAAAAATCACTAAGTATTTGTCCCCCATAGTAACTTAAGTATCTTTCTGCATGCTGACTCTCAGCTATTGTTTAAACTTTGAGATTTTAAAGGGCTTCCACATATATACAAAATGTGTCCCCAAATGGATATATAATTTAAGTCAACTATTTTATTAAAGGTAAAGGACGAACCATATGTCAGGTACTATAGTATAACAATTACAATTTTTTTCTACTATTACAAAATAAAGTTCAGACTAAGGATGTAATATCATTCAATTTATCAAAAACCACTAGAAATGTTCACCATGGGTCTTTGTCTTTTGTGAAGCTGCTTGCTCACTGTCATGGAAACACCTTATTTATCTCACATCATTTCTTCCTACCTGAAGTCTCTTCTCTTCACTGTCTGTTCTTGTGTTCTTTGTGTTAATCTTTATTTTCTTTGAGAATCGAGTTTATATCTTTCTTTTTAACTTTGTATCTCAGTACCTTACAGTTAGCTGTCACTAGATTATGTAAATATACATTCATTAAGTGAACCTGATTGGTAGTGTCCCTATTATTTTTCTTTGATATGTACCTAAAACATAATGTGTCTTCAATCAATGCATGAAATGAGTAGGTTCCTTTTCTGTGTGTCATTTTTTGCTCTTTATTAGATATGGAATTATTTGTTTTCCCCTTGTTTTTTTATACCTGAAAACTTCTTTGATAAACAATTTAATTAAAAGATTGTCTTTCTGCCATAGCATAAGGAATTTTAAAGTCTTTTTGGCCAAACCCTCTAACATGTTGTGGTTGGGCTTCACGATGTATCAGCGTATCATTGACAGTTCCTATATAGATGAGGTGCTGTCTAGGAGCCATGTTTCATGCTTCTACAGTAGTTATCTACTCAGTTCTATTCGGATATTTGTCTTCTTGAATGACGATATAACCCGGGCTGTGAAGATCAAGGTAACTGCGCCTGATTTCACAGCCTCTCTATGGGAGGTCTCCTCCTTTCCCTCCCAACAGTGCTGTTCGGATGCAGCTGTCCCTCCATCACCACTCCCGGGCCCACCCAGATCCCTTCTGGCACTGAAGACAGCAGCAGCGGCTGCTCTGCTACCCTTCACATCAGATAAGCATGGCTTGGAAATGCTATCTTTAGAGGTGATGAGTTTTTGTTTGGATAGGATGATGACTAGAATAAAGCCCACACACACTAACGAGCCTCGGAGTGCAAAATAATTATTGAAAGCAATTTGAGAGAAAAATGGAAAATCATCAGGAAGAAAAAACTGTTCACAAAGCCTTAGCCCCGGTCTTTGCTGCTGCTAACGGGCCTGCCTTTTGTGCTGCCAGGTGACACAGGCACTGATTGTACTTTTATTCTTTTCAGCTTGAGTTGCGCTTTAGTCTTTAGTAAATCTTGCTGATTTGGCCAGAAGAGATGCTGTGTATCATCTTCTAGTGAACAACCAAGGACACGTGTATACTTTGTTTTTATCCTGGTTTGTCTTATGTCGTCTTTGGGATCACTGATGTTCTCTTTATGTCCCTTCATGTACAGCAACATAAAATGTATAAAAAGTAGTATTTTTCTGCCAGAATGTATAGATATGTTCTGTCTTTGACTCTATGGTGTGTAGTATGTTATGTATATGCTATGTTATATCCCATATATCTTGACAAACTAAGTTGGAAGGAGCACCTCATTCTAGGCTGCAGGTTGGCTCTCCTTATACTTAAATGAGTTCTTTTAATTAATGGTCTTCTTGTTGTAAATTGAGTATAAATTGTTTCTCATAAGCTCATATATTTGAATGTTCGGTGCCCAGATGATGACACCTTTTTAGAAGATTGTGTAACTTTTAGGAAGTGATGCCCCTAAAGCAAATTGATTGCTGGAGATTTAAAAGCCAAGCCCCACTTGGTGCTTCTCTCCCCTTTCTGACTACTGGAGCAGGGCAACCAGCTACCTCTTGCTCCTGATACAGTGCTTTCCCTGTCATAATGGACTATATCCCTGGATGAAAGGCAAAATAACCCATTCTCTAAAGCTGATTCTCATCAGGTATTTGTTCACGTTCTGAGAAAAGTAACTAATACAGAGGTTTATTGTGGAGGAATAAGGCTGTTGCAGTGACAAACTTGACCATACGACTCTTGGGTTTTGGCACAGGCTTGAGGGGAAAATGTGGAAGAGTTTAGAATGCAGCTAGCAAAAGATCTAGGACTATACACAAATCTTTGCTGGCTGCCCTGGTGGGAGTTCAGTAGACTAGAATGTTGAAAGAAATGTGGACAGTGGAGGAGCAATTCCTGAAAGGGTTCAGAAGGGAACAAGGATTCTACTGGGATCTGGGTTAGAGAAATTTTATTTCATAATATGGCAAAGAACTTGCTTGTGTTTAGTCTGCCTATTTCCTGAGAACTTCAGAATACCTAAATTTGAAAATAATAGACTAAATTGTTTGAGAGAAAATGTCAAAATTGTTCAGGTGTTCATACTGTATGGGTATTACTTATTGCTCTCATCCAGCTCTTTAGCCAGAGAGCAACAAGTGGAACAAAAAGGTATAAAGACGTCTAGTTTGTGGGGGAAAACTGTAAGCTTAAAATTATATGTAAGAGTGTTGCTGATAAGGCTAGTATGTCATTAGAGATTAGTACCATTAAAGGGAAATCTTGTGCTCTGTACAAGAGAAAAGGTGAGACTCCACCCACTGTAAGATCCATCTTGTGAAATTGGAAATTCATTTTTAAGACTGAAGGCTAATCTGAGAATACTGCTGAAGGCATTGCCTCCTCAGAAACAACTGCCTATGGATGTGTTTTTCTAGGGTCAGGATACAAAAGCTAATACAGCTGTCTTCAAAGAGGGCAAGACTTCATCTTGAGCTGGTTGAAGGAGTTGACAGTACTGTGTGGTAGTGGTTGTATAGGCATGAAAGATACAAGAATAATAGAATTAAATGAAACTTGTGCCAAGGTTTCTGAAGGTCACAGAGGCTAGGAAATTTATCATGGGGTCAGAATCCCTGAAAGAAGGCCCCCAAGAAGGGAATTATGAGGCTGTGAAGTTGAAATTACAAAGAAAACCTCATGTGGAAGATGCAAGAACCACAGGATTTCTACACAGCAAAGCCTGCAGCAGGGAGCAGAGCTGGCAAATAAAGAGGCTATGCACGGTGCTGGTAATAAAGCAGGAGAGATGGGGCTACCTAAGCCCTTTGGACCACAGATGATTCTGTCATGAGTTCCAAATGCTGGACATGAATCTATAGGATTTAGTGTTTGCCCTCCTGGGTCTTGGTCTTGTTTTTGTATGATCTTTCCTTTCTATAGTCCCATTCTTCCATTTAGGAATGGGGACGGTTATTCTGTCCCGTTGTGTGGTGAAGGCATTGAAATTGCTTTTTGATTATACAGGAGTTCACAGTTAAGGTATTTCCTTGGATCTCAGAGATGTCCATGAATGAACCTATGGAAGAATGGAGCATAATGGTCAAGTTTAGTTGTAATATGTCCTCTTTAGATTGTGTGGTTCAACACTTAGTTTCCAGTTAGTGACACTGTTTAGAGGGTTGTGGAACTTGAATGGGATGGAGCCTCGCTGGAGGAAATTGGTCACCGAGACCTTTGGGTTTTACATTTGTAGTTGGGCCTCACTTCTTGTTTGCTCTGTTTCCTGGCTGCTTATACCAGGTGCCTCATGTACCTGACACCTTGCCCTCCCTATGTTAAACTTCAAGCCTAAATAACTCCTCTTAAGCTGATTCTTATCAGGTCCTCACGCACTAGTCATCTCTTAGTCCTCCTAGCACTGCCAATGACAGCACACAAACGGACTTTGAAAGAAATAAATCCCTTACAAAACAGCCCAAGAAAGTGAACAGAATTATTCCCCTGGATACAAGAAGATAAATAATTAGTTCCACAGAGTATAATACACTCTGAGGTGTCTGAGGGGAGCATATAAGCAAGGTTAGCAGCAGAGCTCATGTGGTCCCGTCACCGTTGTTCCACAACATATAGCCTGAGCCTGGATCATCAAGGTTGAAGTCTTGATTAGCAGGTTAAGAGAATACTACAAGAGTGAACGAGACCCAAATCCATGTTTTTATGCATATAAGAAGGTGCCTGCTGTCTTTTTTTCCAATTCTCTAGAGCAATTCTCAAAATGTGGTCTCAGACAGTGTGATCAACATCGTGTACAGTTTATTAGGAATGTAAACTTGTGCACTCTCTATTCTAGACCTACAGAATCAGAACCTCCAGATGGAGGACCCATTTACCCATAGGTAAAGTTTTGGCATTGCTTACAGGTGACTCTAAAGTAGAGTTCGAGCATCAGTGCTCTAAATATGTAGTCCTTACTTCTTCCTAGTAGAGAATTTGGGACTGTAAATTCAATTTATAAAAAACAAACTCTCATAACATTACTCATACTTTTATTCTTGTAAAATTTAGGTTATTTCATAATGTGCTTGGAAATTAACCATGTTTCACATTGAATGACATGAGCGAGATTGTTGTTAGCATTTAAATTACTTTGTGTTATGAGATTTTCATTAATTACTTGTGTTCTTAGTAGCTGAGGCTTTATGAAACGACCTGTGCTAGCATTAATAAATGCAAACAAAGTGGAAGGTCCTGAGGTTAATGAGATAATAAAACATTAATCTGTGTTTCCTCTTTAATGTAAAATGGAGACCCATCAGGTTCACTTTATATATGGTACATTTGTCTTTCCAGGAAGAACAAAGTATGCTAGCCATGGAAGACGAGGGCACAGTACAACTCCCACTGGAGGGACACTACAGGTAAACACATATTTAAAACACATGAGTGAGGGTCATAGAATATACTGGCTATGTTCTTCATACCATAGGAAAGTTATTGAAGTTGTATTAAAATATAAAAAAAATCCCAAGACCAAGAAATAAATTACAGATTGCAGTAAGTTCTGCCAACACTTGTGTAACAAAATGACAAAAAGAAACAAACACAGGGAGATGTATTTTTTTCATGGTTTATAAGGTGTATGAAAGATCACTTTCATATTCTCAGAAATTACCACCTGAAGATATTCACCGTTCACTTCTAGTATAAATGAGGTCAGTATCTGTGAGGAGATCTTATGAAAACATTTTTATTCTGATAATTTGCTCCTAACAAAAGTCACTTCCAAAAAGATAACTAATTTTTTAGTTAGTCAGTCAAGTCTGCCATTTAAGAAAATACTCATGTAGTTCTTCAAAATACACTGATTTTTTTACTCACAAGGACAACAAAGCAAAGTTTTATTAGTTACAATGGAAATTTTTATACATTTGTCCCCCTCCCTCCCTGACTATTTCTCCTTTGTTCCCTTTCTTTCTCTGCTCCCTTCCTCTCTCGTCCCATTTTCTATCTCCCTTCCTATTTCAAAAGTTTAGTTTGGATAATTTCCTCATAAAGTCTGTTTTAAGTACTATTTGGTACCCAAGTGTATAGTCTCACAGTTCTTAGGCTGTGCCAGTAAATAAATAAACATGAAATTTTTTAGGGGGAGAGATTTGCCATGGTACTTAAAAGACAAAGTGGGAAAGAATCCATTGTATCTCCGTCTTACTCCCAAACCATATTCTCCCCAAAAGTTTAGGTGTAATTACCTGTTACTTAAAGGTGAAAACAACTGGGAAAAGTATTTTAGTTCTTTTTTTTCTCATTCAAAATACTCGTTTGAGTTGAATATATTCTTGAGTGAATTATAGCTTTATGACCTGCCATTCCTAAAGGGTTTTGTAGTTAAATAGGTTAAAAAAACAGTCTAAACTGCATGCTAGCTTGTGAATTCATAAAGGAACTTTGCATATGAAATAATAAAAAAGTATTATCACTTAAAGCTTACATTTTTTTATTCAAAATTTTGTAAACCTCTTTGTTCCTAAGACTGTCTCATAAGACCATGATATACTTGTTTTTCATTTAATGCTTTTTTGAAATTAGTTGTTCTCCTATGCTGAGTTTCTAGGAAGCTCCATTTTCAAGAAGGCTAGAGGAATTAAGAACACATTTTTAGATTGAGCAAGACTGAGTTCTAGTGTGTCATTTACACTAAACGTTGGGTTTGTTGTCCTCTTGGAAACAACTACCAATAGAGTTGACAAGATGCCAGCTTAGGAGTTTAATTAATGTCATTTTTTTTCACAGTAAAGAATGTTACTTATATGTACAAAAATAATGCTTTTTTTCATTACAAAAGTTTTCACTTGGTCTGTGATTACTTTATGCTGCCATTTAATGATATTTCTAAGTCTTGAGAGGTTTTGACACAGCATGAATGTTTTCTATAATTGTTGTACATTTAAAATATAAAAACAGAACAAAGCTAAACAAACCAGCCAACTACCGGCACAGAACCTAATACTGTAGGTTCCTCGGTTACACCCCATCAAGGGCACAGGCTGAATTCACTTTCAAACACATAATTACTGAGTAAGTGTCATGTGTCCAGCTTTGACTTTGGGGGGAAGCAACTGTTGACCAGTGATCTAGAATACTGTTGTCACCGTATTCAAGTAGAACAGAGGATCAGGATAGAACATAAAAATATGAACAGCAAATGCAGTGATGTAGCTGGCAAGAAAAAAAGGATAGAAAGACAAAGGAAACAAAAGAGATGGAAGTCTTTTCTTGTTGATTTTTATTGAATTCTACATTTTCTCTGCTCCCCTCCCTACCTCCCCACTCCCCTTTAACCCTCTCCCAAAGTCCCCATGCTCCCAATTTACTCAGGAGATCTTGTCTTTTTCTACTACCCATGTAGATTAGATCCATGTATGTCTATCAGGGTCCTCATTGTTGTCTAGGTTCTCTGAGATTGTGATTTGTGGTCCGGTTTTTCTATGTTTAAAAGCCACCTATGAGTGAGTACATGTGATAATTGTCTTTCTGGGTCTGGGTTACTTTGCTCAAAATGATGTTTTCTAGCTCCATTCATATGCCTGCAAAATTCAAGATGTCACTTTTTTTCTTTTCTTTTTTTTTTTTTTTTTTTTGGCTGTGTGGTACTCCATTGTGTAAATGTACCACATTTTCCTTATCCATTCTTTTGTCGAAGGGCATTTAGGTTGTTTCCAGGTTTGGGCTATGACAAACAATGCTGCTATGAACATAGTTGAGCACATGTCCTTGTGGCACGATTGAGCATCCTTTGGATATATACCAAAAAGTGGTATTACTGGGTCTTGAGGAAGGTTGTTTTCTAATTTTCTGAGAAATCGCCACACTGACATCCAAAGGGGCTGTGCCAGCTTGCATTCCCACTAGCAATACAGTAATCAAAGACCCGGATATTAATCCACACACCTTCGAACCCCTGATTTTTTACAAAGAAGCAGAAAATAGCAAATGGAAAAATGAAAGCATATTTAACAAATGGTGCTGGCATAACTGGCTATCAACATGTAGAAGAATGAGAGCAGACCCATATCTATCACTATGCAGAAAACTCAAGTTCAAATGGATCAAAGACCTCAACATAAAGCCAGCCACACTGAACCTTATAGAAGAGAAAGTGAAAAGTACACTTGACTGCATTGGCACAGGAGACCACTTTCTAAATATAACCCCAGTAGTGCAGAGATGGAGGTCTTAAGAGGATGGAACAGCAATTTAAAATGGTGGCAGCATGGGCCTCTTGAGCATTTAAATTACAACAGAATTGGAAGTAAATGTCTGAGATCAGGGATGAATCAAGAAAACTGTAGCCCAAATCTACATCTACACAGCTGGAATATTTTCTTTGGATTTTTCAGATACCCTTCAGTAACTGAGTGATTTACTTTATGCTTCTCAATTTTAATTATTTAAAATATGCTATTATAATAAACAATATGAAATATTATTTAATCTTCAAAGGAGAGAAATTTAGGCATATGATAGGGCATCTTGAACTCTGAGGGCATTTTCAAATGAAATAAGGCAGTGATACAAAAAACAAACACCGTGTGAGGCATCTTACATGGCACACGTAAAATAGAGCAATAGAGGCAGAACATGCCGTGGTGCTTGCAGGGGCTGTGAAGAGGAGGAAGCAGAGAGTTATTGTTTAATAGATATAAAATTTCAGTTTGATAAGATGAAAAGAATTCTGGAGACAGATGTAGTAGTGGGATATACGTTGTAAATGCCTTTAATAACTTTTAATTGTACATCTTAAAATGTTTAAGATGAGAACTTTATATTGCATGTACTTTACTGTGAGGAATGTAGGTAGAATATTTCACATAGTTACAAAGTTGCCATATATTCACCTTCCCTACCTGAGTGCCTCATTGCTTGTTTATTGTATATTATTTCCTTTTGGGTAAACTCCTGTCTAGAGATGACCCGTCCGTGATCAATATCTCTGATGAAATGTCAAAGACTGCCATGTGGGGAAACCTTCTGGTTACCGCCGACAACTCAAAAGACAAGGAGTCACGCTTTCCTTCCAAAAGGTTTGAGTTTTGAAATAATAAGGTTATGTTAATGCTAATGATTTTATGGCATAAATGCACTAGGAAGAGATACCATTGGTTTTAATCAAATTTAGACTTAAGATGTGTCAGAAATTTTTTTTTTCTAAAGGGAGAATGACAATTTTTACAAACATTATGTTTGTCAGTATCTTCCTTTCAAATAAAAACCCACTCTAAAACTACCACAGTGCGGGGGAAATGGAGCTATCAGTGACCCCAGTGCATGACAATTTTGAACATTCATTTTGGCCCACTCTTTTTTTGTTTATGTGGTTTCATCGTATTCCCTCATCACACACTCTGCAGGACCACTGTAGGTGCCAGAACACATTCCCCATTCCCTGTTTGCTTTTGTGACAGCGATTTGGCACATATAATGGTCATTCTAGTTTAGTTGATTTCTAGTTTCCTGTTTTCAAGTCCCTGACAAACTTCCCTAACCTTACCTCGAACATCCACCCATTTTCATCTGTCTGTGGACACGTGAGCAGTCCCGGAGCTGTGCTGGTGACTTTAAGTGCATGCTGAGGGAAGAGTGTGTCTTGAAACAGCAAGGGAGTCCTGGTATTTTCTGCTGGATTTTCCAGGACTTAGAAATGAGTGTGGATCTTAGCGTGCAGAAGAAGAAAACCCCATGTTATGCTAGTTTTGCTTCTCTAGAAAGTGGTTGATGTTTGGGGATGGTATAATGATTTAATTTATTTATTTTATAAGCTTTCATTAACTTTTTTTACTTAATTTTTATATTACATTTTTTTGTCATAAGCTCCCCTTCCTAATCACTCTAGAAGCTGATTCCCCAAAGGTAAGACCTTTTCCCTCAAACCTATCCCCTGGTTGCATTTCCTTATGTTAAATGGTGTCTTCTGAAGACCTGGTCAGCCTATGTCATCTGTGTGAGTTTTGGGGAGGCAAAAGGCCTGAAGAGTCTTAGACTCCAGTCCAATGTAAGACTGATTTTTATGGCTTTTTCTATCTAATCAGTTCTTTGAGGGGCTCTGAAATATGAGGAAACGTTTTTCCCCTTAAAGCATACGAATGCATCACGTATCAAACAACAAGCTTATAGAGTCACACTTAGCAAATAATACCGTCAAATTTCTAGATTGGGAAAAGAAAATTTGTTCCTTTAATTTTGAAAATTGCAAATGTTGCTTTGATATATGCAAACTTGCAAGCTTCGTGAGACATAATTGGAGCCATGGGCTAGAGAGAGGCTACATTAGTCTTGGGGGAAAAACTCCTATTGCTAGTTTTGTCGCCCCAAAATGGCATGTTGCTTCAATGTCATCTCTGTAGCAATGAGAGTAAACAAGGCAGTGACTGTCATCACCCCAGAAGCTGGGGTGGCTGTTCCTCCCTCTCCCCCACTTTTCCTCTTTCATTGCTTGACTAAATTCCTCTGATTGCCTGACTACATTTTTCTAAAACTTAGACCAAAGGAGTTTGATAAAAGTTTCTTCATAAGGTATTGCTAAGAGTTTTGAATGGTGTCTTTGAACAAGGATTCGAAACCAGCTTGCATTCCCTTGCTTTGGTTAAGCAGCAGTAATACTCTTTCTAAACCATGAATTTAGCTTTCTGTCTTCAAAATTCTTGCTATAGTCCCTTTGAATCAATCATCCTTGCAGTAATTTTATGTTTTGTCAGAACTCCTGAACAAAAATCAGAGTAGTAGGAGGAAAATTTGAGTCCAATTTATTTTAAAATCTGAAATCCAGGTTGATAGGTTCAAAGTCAAATGTCAGTCATGGGCACTGGGTGGGGACTATGAGACCATCAGACTTCAGATGCTTCTCATTCTGAATTACTTGGGTCCATCGTGCAAAATCTTCCTGTTTTTTCTTTGGGTTGAGAAAAGGTTTTATAATGTGATGATTTCTGTGATGCTTCAAGTAAACACATAACAGTATCTCATCAGTGTTTTGTTCACGTTTTGTTTTTGGAAATACAGTATCTAGTTTGACTGGACGTAGTAGCTAGGAGCCGACTACAATTCTAGCTCATCTGGAGGGTGTCTGCTTTGGTCCTGGTTGAAAGTGCTATGCACACATGACAAGCTCCTCTACAGCATCCCTTTATCTTTTAATGCATGTGAACTTATCTTCATTGTTTGATTGCCTTGCTTGGTAACTAGCAAGAAATGCATAAACTATAAAATTCTAATAAATAACTTTCAAACTCAAAGACTTAAAGTCTAAAAAACTGTGAGGTAAAAACTGGATGCAGGCACTCAGCATTCCAAGCTACTATATCTTGTAATTGTGAATACTCTTTCAAGCAAGTTAGGAGGGATAGGACGCTCCTGGGGAGCTCTTCGTTGTCACTCCAAAGACTAGCCCAACTTATCTTGATCTGGAAAAGATTTATAGGGCGTAAATTACCAAAAGGATAGGAAAATATTTTCCTAATTTCTTAATATGCTGTGTAAGAATTACTTTAAGAAAAACAGTGAATCCAGTAAGATACCCTTTAAATCACAGTAAATACTCCGTGAGTCATTTGTATCCTGCAGAAGAGGTGGCTGCTTAAGCTGGCACTGTAGGACGTTTTAGCAAGGAGCCATTAAAATTTGTACCTTGCTCTGAACAGGCTAGTTAGTGGGTAGCCTGCCTCTTCTACAACTATTCTGCCTTAATTGTGTTTTTGTGTGTGATTCCTCTGTGTCAACTGTCGTTAATAATCTCAAGGATTCCATCTACTCATATATATTTTAAATTTGCAAAGGTGACTTCATAATGTACTTGTTCTTTCATAATTTTTCATTAGCAATGTGTGATTAATATTTTACAAACCATATTTAACTTTGTAAAAATTATATGTTAACTGTAATTTAATTTATTTCCTACTATTACACACTTAGACTGTTTCCAATTTTTTGTTTTGATTTTTAAAAGATTTATCATCATTATCACCACCACCATCATCACTACCACAACCATCATCATCATCATCATCATCATTATCGTTATCATCATCATTATTATTGAGACAGGTTCTTACTATGTAGTCTAACTGGCCTGGAATTGATATGTAGACCAGGCTCTCCTAGAACTCATAGAGTTCTGTCTTTGATCCCGAGTTCTGGGATCAAAGGTATGCTCAATCATCTCTGACTCAATTTATATTACTTTTAATTATGTGTGTGTCAATGTGTAGAGATATGCTTATGAGTGTGGGTCCCCAAGGAATCCAGAAGAAGGCATTGGTTTCCCTCAAACTTGAGTTACAGGTGGTTGTGAGCCACTTTATATAGGTGCTGGAACCCCCACTTGGGTTCTTTGCAAGAACAATACCTACACTAATGCTCTTAGCCACAGAATCAACTCTCTTACACCTTGTTTTGCTTTTTTAAAAAAACATTTCTTTGATTTTTTGTTTGTTTTAATTTTTGAGATAGGGTTTTACTAGGTAGTTCCCATTGTTTCTTTTCTTTAATAATAAAATAATTATAGTTTATCTAGTTATATGGATAATTATATAATTATACAACATTATTATAGAAGAATGTCATTAGGAGTCATTTTATTACTGTTTTTTTCTTTTGGACAGTAGTGTTTTGTTTTAGCCTAGGTCCCTTGGATATCTAGGTTCAGGTTCTTGTTCACCCAAGCAGTGTTGGGTATGGGTTCCATCTCATGGATTGAACCTTCAGCCAAATCATATATTGGTTGGTTACTTCCATAGGCTTTGTGCCATCATTCCCTAGCATATCTTGCAGAAAGGACACCATTGTAGATCAGAGCGTTTGTGGGTGGATTGGATTTCTCTTTTGCTTACAAAGTATGTTCCTGTACCAAAGACTCTAGAACATAGGTGTGAAGGCTCTCTGTAGGCACCAATTGATTACTTCTTGTTCAATGGGTGGCCTCCACAGCTCCCCATACAGTATGATAAAATAGGGCTCTCCAAAACCACATTTACTGCACAATGGACTCCTAAGAACATTTCTTGCAGTGACACCTATAGATGCTGGGAAAAGGAGCATTTTCAGTGATCTTAGAAATATTTTAATGAATTCTTTGAGGATTTCATACAATGTATTTTTAGCATATTTGCCCCCATCTTTCCCCAAACTCCTTCCTGATCCACTTTCATCTCTCTACCCTCCTACTGTGTCTTCTCTTTTATTTATTAAGTCATGGGACTCTTGCTTGTGCTGGAGTGGGGCCACCCATTGATGCATGAAGAACTACCAGGATGGCTACTACTCTTTCTACCTTTCCTCTGTCCTCCCCACAACCTCCTCCAATTATGGAGACTCCTCCTTTGCTGTGATCTCTTAGGCCTTTCCCTAGCTACTAGATAAATGCTGTCCAGAACAATATCTGAGTCCATGGAAGAAACTTCCTCGTAGATTTATAAGTAGCATATCAATAGTGGTCTACTATTTGCTCATTCTTGAAATATCACTTTCTTCTTTTTATGGTTTTAGTTATCTTATTTTTTGAGACTATAATATGATTGTATCATTTTCCCCTTACCCATTCTTCTTTACAAGCTCTTCTCTCTCTCTCCCTCCCTCTCTCTCTCTCTCTCTCTCTCTCTCTCTCTCCTTGCTTTTAAATTCATGGCCTCTTTTTTCATTAATAATTACTATATAAATATATATTTCTAAATAAGCAAATGCAACCTGAACATGATCAGTCTGTATGTTACTTGTGCATATGTTTTCAGGACTGACCTATAAGAATAATTTTATCTATCGTATTTTCCTAGATCTTCCTAGAATACCTGACAATATTTATTTATTATAGTAAGAAATAGTACACATGTGATATGTGTTTGTTTAAATGAAAGTTTAGTTGATTCGCATTAGAAAAATAGATGTAGTAAGAAACCCCCGGAGGGGGGAGAGACAGGGAGATCATCATGCAGTTAGAAAATCCAAAGAAACATTTTCATAGCAGTCTTGAGCAGATTGGAATACTTCTGCCTCCCCAAATTATTTTATTAAAATAGTCATTTAGTAAGTGATTGTTTTATGACATAAAAGACAAATATAATTAAATCAGATAAAGAGAAGGCTTATCTGTGAATCTAGTTGATATTCTCTCTCTGACTCTCTCTCTCTGACACTCTCTCTCTGTCTACCTACGCTACTTAGTGACAAATTGTGTCACTGACCATTGAGAAGTAAGATATTTATCAAGAAGTTATGTGATACCTAAGTCTCAATGTTAGAGCAGAGACCACAATACCTCTCCCCTACCAAGTCTCACATAGATAGGATACAACATCCAATTTTCCAAAAGACAGAGTATATTAGAAACAGGAATACCAGAATCAGCATTTCAGAAGTAAGCTACAAGAAGACTCAGAGGCCATCTGGTCCAAAGCTCAATTTAGTGTTGAAGGAAGTCAGTCTCAGAGAGATTAAATCACTGGCTGTGGGTCACACACCTCCCTTAGCTCTGGGAGGTAAGAATGGGCACTCCACCCACACCTCCACCCCGTTCTGTTGGGCGTTATTGGCTTTGTTTGACAGAAGAGGTGGGGACAAGTGACGTCCAAGGACAAGTTAATTTGAAAAACAGAATAACAGACATTTGTCGTGTAAAAGAACTTAAAGTAGAAAAAGTGAGTCATACAGATAGAGAAGTTAAAAATACAGAATTAAGGCGCCCGACACATCATGTGCACACTGTCATCTCTTCTCACGAAAGGAGAAAAGAAAAGGGAAAAAAGTTGCTTTTCTCTGACCTGTAAGGAGTATGTGCTGAGAAGTGTGGCAGGCATAAACCCGGGTGCCATAGACACTCACTCACACCACTCTCAGTGCTGGCAGCGTGCCACAGATGGCAGAAGCTCCGGCACTTCTTACCTGATGGCGCCGGGTGGTGGTGACAACTGAGAGGGCTGTTTCTAGCTTGAATTGGAGAAAAAACAGTTTTAAAAGCACACTCTTAGAATATGTTTAAGTTATTGACCACTAAGAAAGATGTTCAGAAAACCCCATAGAAAACATAACTTGGTTCTTTTATTACCCAGAGAACAGTTGTAAAACCAAGAGTGCTTCCACTTTCCACTATTTCATTGATGTGTATTAAGGGCCAAAGTTAACAGTGAAAAGTGTGTTGATTCTTCTAGTTCAGGGTCTCAGAGGCTGGCTGTATGTTGTTCTTTATGCCATCAATGGGGGTGGGTTTGCAGAGAGACGCTGAGTGCATAGGACTTTACCAGGCCCCGGGAGTACTAGAGGAAGAAGAGTGTTGTCCTTCTGGAAGTACACACTTTCCTTCTAAGCTTCATCCATTTGAGCACTACATTCAAATTCTTCCTCCGTGAAGACTTCCAAGTACAAAATGGTGAAAATATTGCAGATAACTCAACAAAAATGGTAGTCACATTATCAACGTAATTGTCATTGAAGTTAAGTGGAAGATGAAACTAAACAGGCTTCTGGGGTGTGAGTTTATTCTAGAAGGAAATGAAGCATCCCTCCCCTGCTGTGTAGTCGGAGGCTTTCCCTGTGAACACAGCACAGGTGTGTGGAGAGCAGGGCGTCCAGGCTAGGAAGTATGTGTCTGCACTCCCTACCAAGACATCTTCCTTCCCATAGATCAAGGTTCAGTCCAGGAACAAAGGAAAAGCCCTTCCAGCAGCATCTTCTCTGTCGTTGCTAGTCTTACGCTACCTTAGTGTGGAGCATGGCTGGCATTTTCACCAACTGTCAATTATTCATTTGCCCAGATGAGGGCCGTGTATTAATCTTGCATGCTTTTAGAACCGTTTGGAAATATCTGTTTTTTGTTTCTTGGTGTCTGTTTTTGAATTTCCCCCTCTCTGCAGTTCTTGATTTCTAGCTCACAGAGCGCAGAGGATTTAATTGCTGCTGTGTCTCTGTGTTACAGCATGAGAGAGCAATGCCTAAGAACTCTTGTATTTCTTTGGGGTTGATGGGTTTTGTGTCTGAAGAAAACAAATCTCACAGTAACCAAGCTGGATTATATTGGTAAATTTCTCCCTTTTTTTCTCCTCCCCCTTTAGCACTGAAAGCCGAAAAGAGAAGAAAGCTGACTCAGGGAAAGGTGTTGACAGGGAGACTTGTCTATGACTTGATCTTCAATTTATTTTTTACATATATATATATATATATATATATATGAGAAGAGTGTCACAATTATTAATAAAACTGCTTTGATCATGTATTGTAAATCCTGTCTCCTATCCCAAACCCACCTCCACACTGTAAGTAGTGCAACGCTTCCTCCATTTCCGTGTTTAACCTCCTCTGAGCAGTGTGACCCCCATCGTGAGCAGATACAGTAGCTAATGCAAGAGTCCCCCAAGTCATTACTGTGAGACATCCGCCAACACAGCGTTCTCAGTGTCAGCGTCATGAGAGCAAAGTGTTCTTTAAACAAAAAGGGTATTTACCTAGTTCGTATTTTCCTACCGGAAGATACCTGATAATTTTATTCAGAGGACTTTTGGAAAGGTAGTCTTACTTTTAACTTTTTTATGCCTTAGCGTTAGTGATTTGTTCTGAAAGGCCCCAATCAAAAGGTTACTTTGAAAACATTTGTAACACTTGTTATTTATGTATTTCCTGACTTCATAGGATGCATTTAATACTTAATAGCTAACTGATACTTCAAGTTATTTGAGAAAGAAACCTGTTTATACCTTCTTAGAAGTCATACTGCAGGAGAGTCCTGTAGTGTTTGCTTAGAATTGTGTTTTACCCACGTGGTCAAGTGTACTAGGCGTCCATGAAATGCTTAGAGAGCTGAAGAGTTTTGTGAGATTTTTTTCTTTTTAAGTCTTTACCAGAAAAGTGTTACTGAATTTCTCTCCCATTGACAATAGTTGCTTCCCAAATACACCTATGACATAGATACTTATGGAATGCTACACAGTGAATCATTGCATAGGAAATACATCCCTATACAGCTGTTCTGCTGTTAACGGGTCATGTTCTGCTTAGGATTGTTCCCTGTCACGTTGTCATGTTAGACCAACAGGTATCCAGCTGTAACTAGTTTTGCAAGTTCTTTTCCACATTTTAATTAAATGCATGTTGTGGGGAAACAATCTTTGAACTAAAATTCAGATTCTGTTAGAGAAGGTGATGTAAATATTTCAGTCCATATGAAGCAATCCAACTTTATTAAGCTTATTGAAATAGGAAGGAAGTTATGGATTTTTGAATATGACTAAATATAAGATTCATTTAATTTTAGATAAATGTGAGTTGCTAAAAATGAAATCTCAGAGGATTCTTAGTTCCTAAGGACTATCAATAATTCACAACCTTATAATCTTTCAATGTCCAAATTTAGAAAAACTCAGAGGCCTGTGGCTTTTGTAAACTTTATGCACTCCATGGAAGTGCACATAATTGGGCAAACTCCTCTATTAGGAAGCTCATGAAGGTGAAAAAAAAAAACAGGCCTACATTAACCATAACATTTTGATATCTTTTGAAAAAGAAATTTCTCACAATCTTTTCAGGATCCATTTTTTAATGAAATACGAGCTAAATTAAGAGAAGACTTTGCAGTTAGTAAAGTTTGCATTTATAAGCGGTGAAGACAGATGTGAAACTGTGTGCTGCACACATGTGTGCTGTGACCCACTCTCCAGTAACATCCTCACTGTTTTTCAATCCGAAAGCCGTCCCCTAGGGCTCCACATAGCAGCCCCTGCTCTGCTAAAAACCATCAGTGACTTAAAACCTTCATATGATCACTGGTTTGAACAAGCAATCATCCTATGAAATTCTGTATTTCTGAGTATTTTTATAGTAATTTTGTTCTTCTGTGAATTTTAATGCTATCTCTATCTTAATCTTAATATTTTGAAATTATATAAGATATAAGAAAATGTAGTATTATATATATATATTTACTCCTAATTTCAGAATCCTGGTCAAAATTATTGAATGTCTTGAATGTAATTTATTGCAATGTTTAAGTAATATGTAAATGTGACTAGGATATTGTGTTTTTCAAAACTAAGAAATGTTATGTGGAAATAAATATTTATCCTAACTAATTTTCATGCTTATTTTAAAGTGTGTGCAGTGTGTCCTGTCTTTACTTTTCCTTCATATTAACCAATAAATCAGGTAAAGTATTATAATGGTCTAAGCATATTTAAATTAAGACATTCCCACTGTTAAAAATCATTTGTGACCTAAACACAATTCAAACAACTTGAACTTTATGAACAGAAGAGAATGAGAAGTTTGTAAGGTTGCACATGCTCCTTTCCACACAGAACAAGGCATGGGTGATGTTATCTCTATGGCAAGTGAAAAGCTTCTTAGTAGGATCACACTAGTAGAACTCATGAATGCCTGCTTTTACCTGTGTGGAGAAGGCATTCCCCACATGTACCCTTTAAGTACCTCTACAGCAGAGGTCAAATGGAACCTCAGTTCTTCTGTGGCCATCAGTAGATGGTTGGGAAGACTGTATTCAGAACTCTGCCTGCTGGAGAATACCTCTTGACTAGTAGGCTTCCTTGTAATTGCCCCTACTTAACAGCATCCATGTTTCTTTCTAAATATTTTTTTGGGGTGATTCAGACTCCTGCTTGCAGACATCCAGTTTGACCACCATTTGTTGAAGATGTCATTTTCCAGTGTGTATGTCCATAGGTGTGTAGATTTATGTCTGGTTTTCAATCTGATCCTATTGATCAAAATGTCTGTTTTTATGCCAATACCCTGCTGTTTTTAGTACTGTAGCTCTGTGGTACCACTTGAAATTGGGAGTGGTGAGATCTCCAGCAGTTATTTTATTGTTCAGGGTTGTTCTAGCTATGGGGGGTAGCTCAAACTCAGAGTCTGATAGAGACACTTCAGTGATGACTTCCGGATCCTTTAGGGTGAGTGGAGACTGACTCTGCTCCCTTTCTTCACTGCCCTCTCTGCTTCTGTCCAGCTAGAGCCCATTTTATCCCGAATCCTTTCCTGTCATTGACAGACTGATTTCTAACTTTTCAGTATGTCTATCTTGTATATCCAGTAAGGAAATACAATAAAATACCATCTGGGTAGCAAACATCTATAAAATCAGCACTTGGGAGGCAGGTACAGTCATTTTAAAAATGAAATAGCAACCTTCTGAAAGTTTTATGAAAGTCGTATAGTCTCTAAGTATTTTGAGAGGATGGTTGTGGTTAATAATCAGAAATGACTTCTGATTCTTTCCTGGGCATGTTTAGATGCTCTGCTTCTCTTTAGCCCTAATGACCTCATTTCTTCTTATTGTGGACTGAGCTTATATCCATGTCCACTTCCTTTTTTATGTGGAGTCATACATTTCTGCCTGACAACCTCATTCCTCCATTTGTTACCATCAAGGGACCCTTGATGGTAACGGTGTCTTAACCGTCCCTGTTAACTCTGTAGGGTCTAATTCTTTGCTCTGATATTTACCAAACAGCAGAAGTTGTTCCAGAAGCATAAGTAAAACGTTTCAGAAAATGCTGTTGTTCAGTTAAGAATTATGAAAATAGAGAAACCAGCAGTGCATATTGGATACGACATAGATCTAGCACATGAGAACATGGAAGTTTACAACCAGAATCTATGCAATGTATGCAGCCTCAAAGGTAGGAAAAACAGCAAAATACTGCGGCTAGGAGGACAAAAACTGGAAAGACGATGTTAGGCACTACTTGTATGTAAATCTCAGCCAAACAGCAGTTCTGATGTAGGAAGTTTTTACTCTTTTAGGGCTCAAGTGGAGTTGAATTCAGAGAAGCTGAATAATGTCTCTAAAATACTACGTTTGTCACAACTGCTGATCATCTTACCCTGCGTGTCTGGTTTCAGCTGAAGGGCACTATATCTCAAGTATGAGGTGAGAAAGGGTTTTGCTCATCCCTATAGGGTGTTCACTTAGAACCAGAATCAGATTGAGTACCATGTCTTCTCAATATACTATAGTTTCTTCATCACTTATTTCTCTGTGATAACAATGGAACCAAAACTCATCAGTGAAATCCATTTTGTTGCTCACAAATCACAAAATGATGATTTTGTATGGAAGTAACTTACAGAGGCCCACCCCTCCACATGTCTTGCATCTGAGGATTCAAACAATCCCTGATTCAAAATACTTCTACAAGTATGTCTGCATCAACATGTATTTTTTTTTCCGCTTACCGTTTCTTTCACTATGATACATAGCATTTTCTTACATTATCCTGGATATTATAAGAATCTGGAGGTAATTTGAAGTATTAAGGAAGACAAGCTTCCATTTCCTTATAGTATATGCTACTTTGCAAGATCTTTGAATTTGGGGTACCTATATCCACAGGGGCATCTAGAACCCATCCCCTGTAGACACAGAGAGATGGGGATAAGGATTTTGGTTGTTGAACAGTCACAGTGTTGAATATTGAATAATCCCACTGTCATAATGGATGCTTTTTAAGGAATTTGGCAATCTTGGAGAATTGATTCAGAAAGACCATGTAGAATAAGGACTTCTGCTTAAGTTATTGACAGTTGTAGCCTTTACCAATGGTTCTCCACCTAGGGTCGTGACCCCTATGGGAGTTGAATGACCTTTTCACAAGGGTAACCTAAGATTATCAGAAAACATAGATATTTGCATTGTGGTTTGTAATAGTAGCAAATTAAAGTTATGAAGCAGGAACAAATATAATTTTATGGTTTGGAGTCACGAAAACATGAAGAACTGTATAAAAGGGTCGCAGCATTAGGGAGGCTGAGAACCACTACTTTGTATGCATTGAAAGATACCCTTCTCAATAGCCATAAAAATATTTTCTTCCTAGTAACTCAAATTCTTGGACTTAAATGTTAATATTGTCAGAGAAATATGACATGCAGAGAGACGATCAAATGCTACTGAGCTTCACAGTGGTCTTGGTAATACCAGGCTCTGTGATTTTTATGGGGTAGCCCATGATGCTATGCTTTCTAAGCCCCATTTGTGTTTCATTCTCAGCCATCTGTATCCCCAAAAACATCCTGAATCTATGCTTCAGGTCACTCAGGACGTATGTGAAAATACTGCCGAAATAATGTCATAAAGTTGGCACAGCAGAATTATCTTATTTTAGGAAAAAATGCTTGTGTTTTGGTATGTTTTTTCACTTAGAATTTATTGAATCTTAAATATTGTACAAATCTAGTAGTCTTATAAGTCAGTATTCTCACTCCAACTTAGAGCAAAAGCAGTAGGTGCCAAGAAGTGGGGCTGCTAATACTCTGATCAAGAAACACAGTGCCCAGAGTGACACAGACTGAGTCATCCTGGATCATGAACTGCTGCTCAATCCCTTTAGCACGTGTGCCCCTGGGTGCTGGAGCGCTCTGAGGACAGTTTGTGAAAGAAGGCGTCCAGAGGCTGCATGTGCTCGTAAGAGACTTGTCTGTATACTGTAGAGACATTGCTAGTTCTTGTGTGTCTCAGACTTACCCTTAAGTTAAGTTTATCTATTATTTATGTATTAGCTTCTTTATCTAATTTGCAACTCTTATTGAACAGTAAAACTCTTCCTATGAATGTCAAATAAAAACTGAATTTATTCACATTATCACTATTTGAAACCCTCATTGCCTGAAAAATGTGTGCTTTGATATTTTTATAACCTCAGGCTCCAGAAACAACATATTTAGAAATGAACAAAGGGCATTATATAAACATTACACAATCATGAGAAATATTAATACAAACCTGGATTATTATATAATGTGGTTTAGATTAATGAACTCACAAAGGATAGTTTTATTTAATTTGCTTTTATGTTTTCATGCTGTCAGGAACATGTGTTACCTCTGTTCCTTGCTAGGACCATGCAGATTGGTCCTGCTACACACGTGACTGAGCTATATTCAAACAAATGGCCAGGAACCTACAAGGCTAAGCATCAGTGGTGCTTTCAGGTGAAGAGTGGGACTTGAGAGTTAAATAAGGTGAACCGAACCAGTGGTGTGCCCGGGAGACAGTATCAAAGCTGATTTCACCCTATCTGTACATTGATCTCATTTTGAAGTGATAGATGGTTTCCATTTCTGCCAGGTTTTGAGTTTATGCTGCAGGCTCACCTGTCTGCGATAATTTTGCTTAGCAAATGGTCTGCATTTAAATGTGAGACCATTTTTAAAATGTAGCTTGTTACAAATAATTGAAACAAAACATCATATTTTCTAGGTTATTCAAACATTGTTAAGTCAGATTCAGTTTCTGAAATCTATGCTTTCTTTCTATTATGTCCCCCTCAAAAGAGAGAGAGAGAGAGAGAGAGAGAGAGAGAGAGAGAGAGAGAGAGAGAGACCCAAGACAAAACAGACACAAAGCCCTGGAAGGACACATCTACCAAGCTACCAAATGACTTTGTTGATGTATTTATTCTCATGCTGTGAATCCCACATGCTTTCCTGGATTAAATTAAATTATGTCTTCC